ATAGGGTAGATGGGAATATGGGTTGTGTTGAAAATAGCGTCAGGAGGTGTGAGAAATTTGGGAAGCAGGTGGTTGTTATAGACTAGAGTAACCTGATTTAATAGCCAGTATATTAGGCTATGCATTTTAAAAAGTCGGTAAAAAAGTTTTGGTTGGTTTAAGAAGAATTATAGATTATACAAACCATTATTTTATGTATTTTTACTTTTACAGCTTTATTGAGAACATAGTGCATGCTTATGAACAACATTATGTGCGACATATTGCTCTCTAATCCTTAAGCTTACTTTAACTACCCAAATTCCTCACACCTAGCCTGTCTATTGTATTGTAACGTAGCCCTTTCTTATCATATACTTTCCCCCAGCTTATACCCCCTCCCCACAGCATCAGTTATTATTTATGGTTGGTGCTGTCTCGAGATCGGTAGCCCATCGGCATTCCGCCCGTTAGATGGGATCTTGGCCATGGGCCAGGTGCCCATTTGCCCACTTTAGCGCACTGGGTCACAGCTGTTGCGCACACCCGTCCGCGGCCCGACCCGGCTTTGTCCTTTTTCTGTTGGAGGGCCCAAAAGGTAGTCAGAAAAGATGCCCTTCTATACTAGACACCCGATAGTCCTGCCAGAAAGTAAAAGGTAGAGGAGAGAGAGTGGGGAGAGGGATTTGGCCTTTAGGGTCTGGCGGTCAACTTTTGAATGTGAGGGTTAGGTTAATGAGGTTAGGCTAAAGGCTTTGTACTACTTATGGATGGCTTAAGCTTACCGTAGTATATTCAAATTCAGGGTTTTTATTAGAAAATCAAAAGGTTCTTTAGTGGAAAAGATTGGCATTTAGGTTTTTGGCGTTGACTTGGGCAGTTGATTCAAAACCTAGTATCTGCTAATAGGCCCTAAATTATTAGAAAATTATTCCAGTCAAGTAAGTAGATTCAAATCTATTAGCTTTTTAGCAAATAGGTCTTGAATTAACGGCCCTAACTTTGGGAAACCAACCCCGAAACCCGTCGTAAATCCAGCTGCCTATGAACCCGAAGTGGCTGAGAATCAGAACCCGGGAAAATGGTTTTACAACCCTTTCCCATAATCTGGAAGGTTAGCGCATTAATAGAACATTTAACTGTTGTATACTTATTCATATTTTATAGTGTTTCACAGATCTAACGATAGCAAAGCTTCATTGTCTCAAAAAATTGAAGAAAACTTCTTATAGCAAAATTACGCAAATTTGATAGTGTTAAAGTAACAAATGTCCAGCCGCATTAGCGTAGTTTAAGTTTTTTCTTTGTAATCCTAGGCTAATAAAACTTACCCAGGCAATAAGTATCGTGAGGACCAAAACTTGAGACCTAAGACCTTCTAAATATTCAAATTAACCCATCATCCCCATTGCCTATAGCATTCAACGGCAGAGAGACCTGGTGGCCCTCGGAATAATTGTCCGATATTAGACGCCCTAGGTGCGCCCTGCGGCGCCTGAACGCTGGGATCGCGAGTCCTTTTTAAGGCCTACGGGCAGTTGATTGTGGCTGGCTCGAGGCGTGGCTCTCGAAGCATCATTAATGTTGTTTAAATTTGGGGGGTATATATAGGGTTTGGAGGGGGTGGATGGGAGCCCACTTGGAGGAATTCCCATAGTCAAGGTATTCATGTTCAGCTGACCTATGCTATTTTGTGGCTATTTTTTAGTGGATTTGAAGGGGGTTCTTGAAGGGTATAGGGTTCTTGGATGCTGAACGCAGCTACTTGAGATATTCTAGGACCTGGGTGGGGTCACCGTAAGGGCATCCGTTTATTTTTAAAAGTTTTTCTATTTTCTTAGATTTGTGACTTTTTGGAATCTCGGCGGCTGTAGTAGACGGTTAGATCAGTGTTAGCAAATAATTATGAAAAATGATTTTTAGGAAAAAATAACAAGCGACTTTATTACTCGATTTTTCCATTTTTCCTTTTTATCATAACCTTCTTCACTCCTCCCATTGCCCTTTCCTAAGTTCAAAATTGAAGAAAAGAATTTGGGTCATGCCTATGGCACTACCCGGCCCGGGCCTAACTGTAGATCGCAATCGGGCCCTACCCTCGCCCCACTCTGTCAATTTACGGTCCCCCTCCCTCTACCCGAAATGGCCTACTTTGCACAAACACTTCTCAACAAAATGAGCCTCCGTTCCGTCGAGGTGTGAGGAACGGCTGGATTGATGAGGGGGAAGTTCTTTGAAATCCGGGCGAGCTGGGTATCTGGATTTTGAAAAAAATCCTCTAGCCTTCCCGAACCCCCGTTAAAACTTACCCTTGTCGAGTAAGGTGTGATATATTGCCCCTTTCCCCCTCTTGAAACCGAGGTCACCACCTCGAATCTGAACATCCCCTAAGGCGAATCGGCAACCATCAGCCCCCGGGCAACAATCTATAGGCCCCAAATGCAATGTGTCCATCTATTCAAAATCTGCTCTTGTCTGAAAGTGACAAAATAAGTGCGAATGTACTCTATGGGATAGGCTATAGCTCTTTTTGTTTGATAAAAATCTTTGCTATTTTAAAGGAACTTTGAAGTCAATTTTTTAGGCCCAACCTACGGGATAAGTTATCTTGGTTTAACTTAGAAACCTAACTGGGCGTTTTAAAGGAAACTTGAAGTCAATTTTCCACACCACATCCACAGTACCCCACCAAACCCTCAGATTCAAACCGTAGCCCTTTCTCCTCCTCATCCTCCCCGCCCGAGCCTCGGTTCAACCTATCTATGCGGATCTGGTGCCAGCCCACCGAGGCAAACCCTAAAACGCGACTCGAGTAGGATGGCCTTGCATCCCTTTCGGGCCGAGGCAGGCCTCTAATGACTGACCTCCTGCAAAAAAGGCGGAAAATGGATGTGGAAGGTGGTAGGTGGAGGGTGGAAGTTTGGAGGGGGTAGGAGATATATCTTGGCTTCATTAATCTTGGATTCAAAAGTTTGGTAGGGGAGGGGACGAATTGAGGGGGGGGGGGGGTTACGGTAGGTTCGGGCATTGTATAGGGGAAAAACGGACGTGATATTTTCTGAGGGAGTAGCGGTTTCTTATAGGTGTTCAAGTATCCAAGTATCTAGCTCGAAAAATGTATATTGTTAAGCTTGTAATGCATCTTTAAAGGGCCGTTCAAGTCATGGTCTCCTGACTCTTAACGCTTGAGTGAGCTAATTTTTCAGATTTTTAAGGTATTTCTGCGCTTCAAAACCCTTCAAATACCTTGACCTCAGCTCCACCCTCCCCGATACCACCTATTAAAGCTTTAGGCCCCCCCTTCTTAATGAACCCGATCTGCCCCCATCCGCCCTGTCCCGCCGATGATTTGAACGGGTGCTGGGTGTGTCCCGCCCTGAGGGGGTGTGTCCCCCTATCCCTCTCTCCCTCTCTCTCGCCCTCCCTCTCCTTCTCTCTCCCTCTTTTCCCATCCTCCCCTATCCCTTCGTGTCCTCTTCTAGGGACTGTCCGGTGGCAAGAAAGATTGCGCCATCCTCCGGGTCACCTCGAGACCCTCGGAGGATCGGGCAGACCCTGAGTAGACACCACCCACCCCATCCACCCACTGGGAGGCTCTTCCACAAACAATCAGCTAACGGGGTGGCTAGGTCGTTTAAGGTGTCTTGTGGTATAGGGGCTTACTTGACTTAACCTTGCTTTAAATGAGGTGGCTTCTAAGACCAGCTAATTATATGTATTTCTTCGGCGTCAACCATTTCTCCCCTTTTTATCGTTTCTCCAAATCCATACAGATTCTAATTTTGAACTTTGAAGCTAAGATCTGACTTACCTCTCGGTAATATTCTATAGTTTTGACGCTACGATTTGCCTCGGGAAGCCCTTTAAAATCATAGCCCAGTTCCTTCTATACCCAGATCTGACCACCCTGAACTTGTCCGCTCGCTGTTTTGCACTATGTCCCACTCCCCTTATTTTAAAGGGATGGTGACAGCGAAATTCTGAGACTTTACCTTTAAACTGCATTAATAGTACATCAACTTTCTGAAACTTCTAAGATGAAGCTTTTTAAAGGATCACTAAAGGAATTGCACTCTCGTCCCCGGCTTCCCTTAAACCACCAAGGGCACCATCTTCTGATTTTCGGTCGTTTAAATGGATGATGACAGAATGATCCTGATTTTCAAAAGGAACAGCTTCTATGAAAATCTAATTCCACTCCCATTCCCGAATCCTCTTCAACCACCCGGTGTCCTGACGACACTGTCTGTCTGTTTGTCAGTATATCCCGCCGTCTGTCTGTCTGTCTGTCTAGGGTCAGTGGGCCCCATCGTTGACCCGATGACCCGGAGGGCAACCTACCGTAACCCCTGAAGAACAGTGGGTGGGGGGTGGGTGGAAGATTGCGCGACGGGATCCCGCCCTGTCATAGTCCGGATGGTCGGGACAGTCCTGGGGACATACAGCCCCCCTCTCTCTCTCTCCCCTCATTCTCATTCCTTTGCATCTTGTCGACCCGGGGGGAGCCACAGGGCCACCTGGCCCCTTAGGCTATTCTCAGGCCGAAGGGCCACACCGCATGGCACCATAGCATAATGACCGGGCCAACCGGGGTGCTGGTTGGATTTGAATGTGAAGGCATTTTGTGTGTGGGGTTTGAAGCTTGTTGGGTTTTAATAAAATAATTTAGACAAACATCGATTTCTTTGTAAAGTTTTAAACTTTATTTTTAAAACCAAACCTGGATACTTTCTTCGTTTTTCTCATTCTCTTTAATTTTCTTCTCATTTTCCTCTTTAAACAATTTTCTAACGTTACAATATACTTTTAACTATCATCGAGACTTGCACTAACCTTTTTACGCTCATCAAAAGTCCCTTAAAGTTTAGTTTGATGCTTCTGATCTCCTTAAAGGGAGTGTGACATCAAGCTTTAGCTAAATTTTCTCACTGCAAAACACTCCCAGACCCGTTCAAATGATCAATTTGCATATACCACGTCTTAAGATACTTAATTTACATTTTTATCTCAATTTTCCAGCGATGGCCGCCACCACATTCTCCCCATTAATGGAGGAGGAGGAAGACTCCGGCTTCGCCTCACTTGGGTGTAGCCAAAATGCGGCCGGAGCCCCCGTCGACTTCTCCGCCTTTCAATTATCGGTACGAAAATTCCTGATCCGTCCATAGCCGTTTAACGTACTATTCAACCCGTTATTACCAACTTCTCTTTAGCCCGCCAAAGACCATGTAATGACCGATGCGGCCGATGAAATGGCTGATCTTCACATTGTTTCTTCCAAACGTCCAGTCATCCGCCGCCCCTTTGGCGATCGCACTAATAGGTAATTTTTTTACTTATCTTACATCCAAGAGCACCTTAAAAACCTATAAAATACAAAATCAAAAATAAAAAGCCCAAAAAATACAAGCGCATTTTGCAGCTGCGAAGAGTCGCCAAAAGGACGTTTTATCCCATTGAACAGAAGCCTTTCCGAAACGATGAGCAGCCTCTTCAAGGTAAGGGTCGATGGGATTTGTGGTTAGGTTGAATTGTATTTAAGATAGGTATAAATGTAAATAAACTCTGGTTTTAATACCTATTTGCCATTTTTCAGAACAAGCGCAAGCGTTCCCAGCCGCAGTTGAGTTATGATGAGGAGAAGCGCCGCCGTGATTTTGAGCCCGCGGTTTGTTTATTTTATTAAACTTAGAATTTTTCGCAGTCAAAGGAGGCTTAAGTATATAATTTTTTTTCAGCAACCCGGCCCTTCCTCCCAACCTGTCGATCAACACTCCACAACCCCGGGAAAGCGCCAAACCCCTCAATTCCGCCGCGCACTTTCTTTCGCTTGCATCGAGGGTCATCACTCGATTCCGGTTGAGGATGAATCGGTATAAAAATTAGTAAAAAGCCAAATTATCGCTATTTTCCAGACGTTCACCCTCCCCTACATCCACACCTCCGACTCCACGGCGTTCAAGCGCGTCACCAGCGAGACAGTGGCCGAGTTGATTCTGTAAGGGAAAGCTCGAATGTTTGTGGAGTCTCGATTCGTTCAGATCTCATTCGCCCGAGGAATTCCATCGCAAGTTTATCCTTGTCGACTGCCGCTATCCTTTTGAGTATAATGGAGGACACCTTAAGGTATACATTTTTAATGGGATGGTTGTTGCAAGAGTGTAATAAAATAGATGAGAAGCTCTATAATTTTTTAACACCCAATACCCTATTATTTTCCAGAACGCCATCAACCTCTTTGCCGAAGGCGCCTACGATGCCACCAGAATCCCGAGCAAGCGTCTAATGGAGGTCTTCTACCCCGAATGCCCCATCCAACGCAAGGAGATGCTCGCCCGAATCCCCATCTTCTACTGCGAGTTCAGCACCAAGCGAGGGCCCGCTATGTAAGTTTATTATTAGAGTCTTTGCAGATTAGGGCTCTTTTGAAATTTGTATAAATATTTTATCTATTTATTTCAGGGCATCTTCCTTGCGCAGCATCGACCGGACGATGAATCAGGATTCGTATCCCTACGTCGATTACAAGGAGATTTACTTGCTTCAGGATGGCTTTAAGGCTGTTTGGACGAAGATTACGAAGCATGGGCTTACGGGAGAGGTTGGTTTTATCATCTTTTTCGGCTTTAATTAACTTAATTGGTAGTGTATTAAGACGATTGGCTAATTCCCCATTTCCAGATCCTCGAACCCCATGGCTACACCGCAATGGCACACCCCGATTACGCGAGCGAGCTCAAAAAGTACAAACTTCACCGCCACGGCAATGGTGCTATGATGACAGCCATGCGGCAACTTGTCCAGCGCCCCCAATCCCAGCTCCGCCTAAAAGATGAAGCCCCCAAGCCCATCACCCCTGCCCACAGGCGTCTCCGACCTATGCGTCTGGATATGACTCCAGGCAGTGAAAATAACTCCCCACGTCGTCTTTCATCCCCATAGTCGATTTTACGCATCGACTTATATTCTAGGTGTAGCGGCCCCTCCCCTCACCTCATGCTCCTTCTCTAAGCTTAAGCTTAAGCACTTCTAAGCTTTCTCAAACAATCATTCCGTCCTTGATTGCTTTTGCTTTTGCCTTTCAAAATGCTTTCTTTTCCTGTCTCCCCCACCAGTACTACTCCCCCCTCACCGTACACTTCCCCGACCATCTGTGATACTGTAGGGAATCAAAAGAACTCAACATATACATATAGTTCATTGCTATCTGGAACAGAATACTAATTTTGCTATAGCTCCAATTAGTGCCGTGTTGTTGTTGTATGCTGGAAACGGACGGTGCAGGACGGTTGGGCGGCTGAGAAATGCACGATTTGAATTTTATACCTCAGAAGCCATTCCTCTGTATTCAAATTTTTGAAGCATTTCTCGGAAACCCAGCTATCGTCGTACATTCACTTCACAAAAAGACTGGAGGAGATCTTGAGATTTGCTTTTTTTTGTTGAAATTATACTCCTCCGCGTCTTTCTTTATATTCATGCCAAAGGTTTTTCGCATTCAAATTTTTTTGTAAATACGAATTACTATATTTGGAGTTTTTTGCAGTGTACATTATTGGCATAAAGTATTTGACTTATGAGGGGATCGCATGGAGATATAAACACCGCAGTGTCAATTGTAATCAGAGCGGGAGAGAGCGAGAGAGCGAGAGAGCGAGAGAGAGAGAGAGAGAGAGAGGGGGAGAGAGAGCGAGCCAGGGAGAGAGCGCCCCAGTGAGAGAGCGAGAGAAGGTAAGAGAGACAGACAGAGAGAGAGAGCCAGTGAGAGAGCAGAGAGATAACAAGAAACTGTATATTTCACAGCTATCAAACACTCTTCAGCGGATTTGTGATGAGGATAAATGGCTTGCCTCCCGGAATTGTCTTATCACCACCCTCAACCCACAGCCCGAAATTATGATTGATAGCCCTGGTTTCCGGGTGTTCCACGCGAGGATCTTGCTTCCCCGGATTCCCATACAGACGGTGATGCTCCCTCGAAATTCATTTGGCTTTTGAGCACCACTTTGCATAGATCGTCCAGCTTGCTCTCTTTTTGCTCTATTCCAGCTGCTGCGTGTACATGACTTTTTGAAGCAAACTTCTTGCGTGGCTGTCCCTTTAACAGACCATTCAGTTCAAAATGTCCCTCCTCACAATCCCCCCGTTCGAAGCCGAGGCTTCTCGATAGCGTGTATGTGTGAAGTGTCGTGTTTGTCTGTTTGTGAAAGGGAGGTGCTGTACATCCCTTCCGTGTCCCCCTTCACCCATCATCATCCCCCACCCTAGAAAAGAAGAAGCTCTATCCAGCTTCTTAGAAATTCGACACCTTAGTGGGAGGAGAAGACGGGCTTCTGGGTCCTTCAGTTCTAAAGATCCGAGCACCCCAATTATATACCATTTTTTGGAAGGGTTGTATTATATACCTTATGAAAATCCGGGTACTGCGCTGTTAGCGCGGGGGACCGGTGAGCGGGCGAAAACCACTGCTTGTTTTCCCCCCTGTTGATAATGTCTAATGTAGTTTTATAGTGTTTTAGTCGTTTTTTATTGGTATAAAGTTGTAAAAATCTTTTTGAACTTTGAAAATTCGGAAAATTTTGACGTTTTTGGGCGTTTGGCGATTTTTTTGTATATTTTTGACCAGAAGCCAATAGTTTTCGAAAATTTTTTAATGTTTTAATAAACGTTTTGCATCAGAAACTGTGTAAAATGCTATTAAAGATTACAATTTCGTTATAGAGCCGTATGGGATTACAGGGAAAATATTGGTTCCACCGGCAACTACCCCCCCCCGCTAACAGACCAGTACCGATACTTTTTTATGATAGACAATCGTATCTTTTTTCCTTATCCATCACCTCACCAACCCTTTTATCCCAGCCAGACCGATCTTTTGTTGGCAGTGTAACGTGAAAGCGTTTTCGGAGGAAGGTGTATGTAGAGGTGGCGTGTGGCTTTTACCCCCTAACGAGCCTCCGTTCCCTCCTCTTTCTTAGGGACCCAATAAACGAATTGTCCGGCCCATCCTCGCGCACGGGTCGTTGCCTCCCCAAAAAAACTTCTCAAATCGACGTGCCGCCGCCATTGTTCTTTTTTTGGACGTGAAAAATCTCAGGGTTTTAGGGAGGATTCGTCATCGTAGTTAAAGGAACGGGTAAGTCAGCGATAAGTTTTTTTGTTAAAGATTTCCTATGGATTTGCCGATTCACGACATTTAGCAGCAACGCTAGATTTCAAAATACGTTTGAAAATACTAAACGGATTTATCAAAAAAAAGTTCTCTTTCGTAAGTAAAGTAGTTGTCGACACCTAGTTTATGTCTAATTTTGATTCATTCACTTCCCATTCCCTTTAAACTAGATATACTTGGAGTATGAATTCAATGTAGATATTTCAAGCTAATTCGGATGCGGATTGTAAACCGCAAACTTCATGAAAAATGAATAGAAATTTTGCGTAACAGTAAATACCTTAAACCATTTCCGAATTCCAAAAACAAACCCTAACCCTCAAGCAATCCCATTGTTTCCCCTGACCCCCCATTAGGGGTATGATCTGGAACGATAGAAGCATCTAACGCCCCAATCTGGACCCCCGATGATCGGGTTATCACGGGGACTCCCCCTCCAATACCGTCTCTCAATTCTTGGGCCCTTCCCGGGGAGACCGGGGGCTTAACAATGCGTTGGAATGAATGAATGGGAACCGTTTCCTTCTACGCACCACGGAAGTTGGTCCCTGTCTACACCGATACCCCCGGGGAAAACAGCTAATTGGGGTGGTCGATGATCGCGTTTTTTTCGAGTTTAGTGTCGATATCATTGACTTTTTTGCTATTTCTTTTTAAGGCTATTTTTAAAGGTCAAATGGTCGATGGTCGCCTTTTTGGAGCACCAGCTGTATCGGTTTTACCGGTTTTAAGGCTGTTTTAAGACAGGTTGAGCCGGATTCCCAGGCTCGCGCCCTTTTTTGTCTCGATCGCCAGCCGGGCCCCTGGTGGGAATCCCCGGAAGGTTTTTGTCTTGTCGACCCTAGGGTGTATTTTCAAATTCGGATCCAGATCTAGGTTTTCCTTCTTTGTGGTCAACGCTGCTTTCAAGGTTTAAAGATAATTTTTGGTATACTAAGCCCAAGATGTTTAATTTTATGATCCCATTACGCTGCTTTTCACTATTGACATGACCTATTGACATTATGCTTTTTGGTACCGTGAACGCTCAACTTCGCAAAAATTAGTATAATATCGGCATCAAGAATTAGGTTATTTTTAAACATCTAAATAGCTTTTCCATCAGCGGATACTAAATCCCTGTTCAAAGTTTGAAACCCTATATCGAATAGCAACTTTCACCTCCCAATACCACGTATCGGATAGAAACTTGCCGGCCGAAAAGAAAGACGCCCATTTCGGATGGTTGTTTGAGCCGTAGCGAAGAAGCGAAGAAGCGGGCGATGGTGGTGTAGAGACGAGAGCCGTGTATGAAGTGACCGGTTATGCTCCTTCCTTTCCGACGGCTCCTTTCAGACCCCCCCTCTCCCTATACACATACATTCCATCCATCTGTGTTCCTTTTTCAATAGGCTATGGCAGGCTTTTGCTTTATACAGTCGGTTTTTAAGCAATTTGATTTTCGCTAATTTTGTTGGTCTCTCTGACTTCAACATGCCTTTAAAATTATAAATTTAAATTTTATGATTTTTCGTTGTCGGGATTTTGGCTGTCGGGATTTTGACTGTCGGGATTTCGGATGTCGGGATTTTGACGTTTCCCCTGCCAACTCGCTGAAAATTCGATTGAAATAAGTGTCGGTGGCATGTGTTGACTGTCACATTGTCTTCTTCTTCCGATATGCCATCCATCCCCCCTTCTTTTTCGCTACGGGACCCTCCACCACTGGTGGGCCCCCGGATGGCTGACCGGTCTGCGCGTCGGCCGCCACACGCTAAGCTTCTCCCCCCATCGCCGGTTGCGCTCTGGGGTCCAAAGCCTGTATGTGTGTGTGTTTGGGGTAGCCCTTTTTTGTTCATTCCAAATGGGCCACACCCTTGTGCGCTTTTGGGAATTTTTAATCATTTTTGATGCTCAAATTAGAATTTTCAAGTCGTTAAATTCTCTCAAGGATATCAATCTTAACTTTTTAAAAATTGTGTGATGTTCGAATTTTCTGAATTTTTGCGGATTTAATTCGCCAATCCGTAAAAGCATTTCTAAAATATTACTATGTAAGAAGGGTCTATTAATGCTCAGTTCTCACATTCGCCGGGTCTGTTATTGCTCATCTTTAAAATTTGGATAAATTGTAATTTATAATTTACAAATTAGCTCAAAAATATTTGAAAGCGACATTTTAACCGGTCATGTCTCTTGATATCTCTCTTTTCCATCGACAATTCCGTAAAGACACCTTCTGTTTTGTATATTTTTATTTTGCATATACCGATGATTCACGCGCTTTCTTGTTTTTCTCTCAAGCCGGCGATTGCATAGATGTAGGCTTTCCGTATTATCATGAATCATTTCCTAGAATTTTTCTTCAAATTAACTCTTCCTTTTATGACCTATTCCACCCTAAAACCGTTCTAGAAATTGCTTATTTACATAAATCTAGACTATTCTGATGATAATCAATCAGAACGTTTGAGAAGGATTAATATAAAGTCATTTTTAACATTTCACACCTCAAATTTCTAACCTTTTGCATTTTCGACTCCGAAAGCCCAACTATGGAAATGAACTTTGCTATGACAAGTGTTAGTGCTTGGGGAGGAGCGCCGCCTAAATGCGTCAAGTGGACAGTGTCGTAGTCTGTGGGTGTGTTGTCTCCTTATTAGAGGGTCTTTTAGTTGTGTGGGATGGAGATGGTGACTTGGACCCTTCGAGAGATTAGCACACATGCTCTATCCCTTCCACCCATTCTGCTTGGCCCCCTCAACTATCCACCGTTCAGCCGGTAATGGGGCTACTCTAATTAACAGCTTATATTGGTGGGGGTTATACTTGAGAATTTTCAAGTTTTACTTACTATTACATATTACGATTTGGGAAACGAAATTGGCCTAGGCAACCTACAGGGTGTCCCAAAAAAACCCCCCCCCTCGGCATTTGGCCGTCTTCTATCCCATCGGGACCAAATTTTTACCAGCGATGGGGACCCATAAAAACTATGTGCAGTCGAATTTTCTAAGCAAAATAGGATAAAACAAAAAAGTTATCGCTAAAAAACTGCTTTTTGGGAAACGCTAGTACCGATTTTTGACTATGTTTTCGCAATTAGCATGCCGATTTTGAGTAATTTTCCCAAAAATCGTCATTTTCGGGTCCGTTTCTGTTCGTTTTGATAAGAAAAATTGATGAAAAGTCCCGATTTTGACGTAATTTTCGTAAATCAAAAAATTCCTCCGGGTGGAAAAAAGTGTCCTCTTCATTTTTGCTAAACATTTCGAGGCCCTAATCCATCAAAATCCTAGTGAAATCGGCAAAATAAACCTTAATTTCAATATAACTTTTTTGCCTTACAATATTTTGCTTAGAAAATTCGGCTGCACATAGTTTTTATGGGTCCCCATCACCGGTAAAAATTTGGTCCTGATCGGATGGAAGACGGCCAAATGCCGAGGGGGTTTTTTTTCGGGACACCCTGTAGAGGTGATAATCAGACATTTCTATACGCACTACTTTTTTGGGTAAAGGTATCTTAATGGGGATATCGGGGGTAGAAACCAATGTAGCGCCATGTGGTCTGATCGTGCTTATTCGAGCTAGCATCGAAACTTACACTAAGGAATTTTGCATCGTCCCTTAATTTCATCGCTACTTTTTGATACGGAGAGTTTTATTAATTAAAAATCTTATAACTTAAATCTGTAGAATTCATTTTGTTATTAGAATGTTTACGCTTTATTCGATGGCATTTTCAAATCACAGGACAATTTTACAAGATTCCACCTTGTGATATGGCTTCCCCCGTTAAGCGACCTTATCCGTTTTTGGGCGCCGTTCTACATAATTCTATACGCGAAGCTTCGTTTTCTATAGACTATTATCCTTTCATTCCGCTCTTCAACCCATTCTACATGCTTTCAATAATTCTAGATGCGATGGCACAAGAGTATGAGTGGACACGTCCGACGACGAACCTCTCAAGCGATGAATACCCGTGCTATGCAGCTCCCATTTTCCACAATCGCGTAAGTTTCCAGTCCCTTTAAACCTTTGCTGTTAGATTCAAAACGACCGCTCAGAAGGTCACGAATACAAGACACCACGAGAAGCCGTTGTCTCTGCACATTCCCCTGTACGATTGAGGGTACTGTATTAGTGTCTCACTAAATTTTTGCTTTCTTCAGGCGACTGATCTAAACCAGAATGTTCCTCGCGACTCCTCCAATCGCCCACCCAGCACTCTGTATCTACCGTATAAGAAAAAGAAAAAACGGTGAGCGTAAATGCACAAAAGTTTGAGTTTGAGCTCCAACAGCTCCTACAGCCCCGAAAACCCACCCAAATGAGGTCGAGTTCAGACCCCACATTTCTTTTCAAAGTAACCATTTTCGGAGAAGACGAGCCGTAGGAGATGGGGGATGAGGAGAATTGGGGGCCCCTCCCCTTCCTCCTAATTACCGCATCCCTCCAGAAGAGGAGAAGCTGGAGGGAAAAGCCCCCCTCCCCCCCAACCACCCTTTTCTAAGGCACCTTGCTCAATTAGATGAAGACGATGGGGGATCTCCAGAAGAGGGGAGTCTGGGTGGTGGAGAAGGGGGGCACTCGGTTCATCCGGTCTTACCAACGGCGTCTTCTTTATCCAGCTTGTTCTTACTCTCACGACCACCTCCGCATACACACACACGCAGCAGCCTGCCCCATATGCAAATTGGGGGGCCGTCGTCGATTCTGGGTCGTCTTCGTCCCGGAAGCTTTTCTCGTATTCCACTTCCCGAGAATTTACGGCGGGTGGCTGAAATTCGGTTTTGGGGTGATGGCGAAAGAATTTAGGTTGTAGTTTGGGGTAGACTAGCAGAGAGTATTGGGGGAATTTGTTGCAGAGGAAATTGCGGAATTTGGCTAGGGCACGCTAGCAGACAGCCCTGGGGAAATTTGAGCTAGGGCTGGCTAGCAGAAAACATTGGAGGAATTTTAGGCTGAGCAGCTAGCAGGGAGGAATTGGTGGAATTTGAATCAGGGCAGGCTAACAGTGAGCATTTTGGAATTTGAGCTTGGGCCAGCTAGCAAGGGGCATTGGGAGAATTTGCGCCAGGGCAGGCACTTTCTCTACCCAAAGTGTATAAAAAATAGCTAGAATTGCTGAACAAATGTTTCGGTATCGAATGTAAAGCGCTAGGCTAAATTTTGACGTAACCACATCCCCGAAAAACTCAACCTCCCACCAAAATGTCATAAATCGCGCCCCGGGTGGCGCGGTATCAGGGTCCCAGATCAAAGCCCGTTTTTACCCGTTGTCCACGAGACTCCAAAGGGTCTCCCACCACCCGGGCCGACGACGATGGCAACAAGTGTTCATTCCATTGCATCCCACTCAATCACCCATCCCATTCCCTTTTGGCTTTTTATCCAATCCCCCCTATCCAATCTCTATACCTCGAGGCGCTGGCCCAATTGGTTGTCCGGGGGGCTACAATGATCCTTTCTATAATCGTTTGTTCTCTCGGTTGGGCCCAGCCAGACAACGTTGGCGGCAAGCCAGATCCCCTTTATCCAGCTTTTCTTCGATACTCTTGAAAAAAACCTTACAAATGCTGCAAACACCACTATTTTATTTTAAGCCCTACATCCGCTATCTACACAATTTTCGAAAGGTCAACTTAAATTGGGCCCAATTAATTTCTAATAAAAGCACCGCTCGTGCACACCCCGGCCGCCTAAAGCTCCCTATTTGTGAACCACTATTTACCCAAACGTGCACACTCGCTGCGCAACGGATAGGTCCGCTAGAGTCATATGCAAATTACTCCATCCATGAGGTTTTCCGTACGGATTTAGGGTTTGTTATAAGGGTTATAATAAAACATTAGTGTCTGTGGAACTCTGAATAAGTTTTTGCGGCCAAAACTCCTTAATTAATCGTATTTTTCTTATTTTAAGGCTAGAAAAAAGCCCATTGAACTACTGTTCCACTTTCCAGTAAAAAAACGCGTAGCCCATAGCGGAAACCGCTGGCTATTAGCCAAAAACCGAGCCATTTACCGTTTGGAGGAGGTGCTTGAGGCTCGTGTGCGGCCTGTCAAGTCTGCGCGCATTTAGCGCTGGAACTCGAATTTCACGCGCCAACCCCCCGGCCCCAGCGATAAGACTGTGAATAAGCTGTAGTCGCTAAACATTCTGCCATTCTGGGACTAGCGCGCCTTGGAGTGTATTTTGTGGATGTTCGAGGTCTGGTGTTCCTTTGGGCCGCAGCCGAGTTGTCAGACGAAAAAGCCGGTGAAACGGTTAGTTTTGATCAAAATTTTGGTACGGTTTTCTGCTACCCTCGATAAACCATCGCTATAGCATTATTTTAAGCTGTGATTAAAATCGTTAGTATATTTATCGATGCTCTATCGAATGATGTTGAAAAAACGGAAATCCCGAAAAATTTCGATTTTTCGATGAACTTGGATTTTTTGGATTTTTTTGGGCTAGGGCTCAAGTACAGCCATGGCAATTTATTTTAAAAATATAGTTGCTAATTTAGTAAGATTATTTAGTAACCATTTTATCATCTAGTTTTGCTAATTTTACGTTGTTTAGCGCCTCTTAATTTCAACCAATGTTCAACGCCTGCTAAATGCTCTCCACTCCCATTTGTTTAATTAGGCCCATGCCCCGGGGGTGGCAACATGGTGATCCCCTAAATCTTGGCCCACTTCACGGCGTCTCGTGTCGTAAATTTCGATGGAATTGCCCCCATCGCAGCTTCCTCCCCCCCCCCTCCTTCAACGTCGAACATAAACAATAATATACAACCCATCGCCCGCCCATGCGATTTGTTCGTTTTTTTTTTTTTTTTTTTTTTTTTTTTTTTTTTTTTTTTTTTTTTTTTTCCCCTCTTTTTTGTCCTCCCCTTTATTAATTTTTTTTTTTTTTATTTTTTTTTTTAACCGATTCTTTATTATTTTTTTTTTTTTTTAACCCTTTTTAAATAAAAAATTAAATTATAACCCGCCGCGTTTCTTTTGTGAATCATTTCAACATTATGTCTAGGTAGATGTTACCAACCAACGTCATTTTTTAACGTGGGTACAGGGAGGCATCAGTATTTGATTAAATTGACGGGTGCTACCCTTATCTAAAATATTTAATTTACATCATTAATGACCGTATGTAAACAAAAAGGGTTTACGACAACGAGCGTCCTTCATTTATAGATGGGCCTTGTAAGCTTTCGCAGGCATGCGAATTTTTTCCGTATCTTTTTTAAAAACCAAAGTAAGGCATAAAACGTCCTTTTGCAAAAAATCTGACAACAGTTCCTTGATCTACACCTTCGAATGCCCCTAAAAACCTACTTCTGGACCTTGAAAACCTTTTCCCATCGCTATATGACTGGAACCAGGGGTTTATTTGCAAAGTGTATACAGGCACACATAAGCACTAGATTTTTACTTATGCAGTTACACACTTCCCTAATTAACACCCTGCCCTTATTCCTCCTCAAACATAAGCGCTGACCCTCGACACCCGATTGGAATCTTCAGAATCGGACATGGGGCGCCCGACGGATCGACAGATCCAATCGGACAGCCACTCACCCATAATAAGCCCATTTCGGTTCAGTTAGACCGGGCTTTTTGGCTGGATTATGATCTGCTTTCTGGTGTAGTTCTTGGCTTCAATTGATGTTTCAGAAATTTGGCTTACAGTATTTTTTTCACCCACCGAAAATCGCCTAGAATCGGCTATGCTATTGTCCTCGTCAAAATTTTTCCTGATCTAACGTTGTAAGGCTCTGAATTTCGATACATTTTCCTCCAATAAAACCCTGTCCTCCTCGAGCTCGTCGCCTCGTTGCAGTTTCTCCTCCAAGTGCCCACCCGATGCCTATATATCTGGCTGGCAGGCCAGACTTGCTGTGAGACGGTCATGTGAACGGGATGAAGGAGCAGACACATCCCCATAAAAGGCACTGATTTAGCTGTGGCTCAAATGAAAGCTTAGGCGCAAGTCTAGGGGTGGGATCGAAAAACTCGGCTTTCTGTCCCCGAAGTAATTCAAGAAATTTTCAGGCGACTATGCGGTTCTCTTTCTCGTCTAGAAGTGTTTTTGCTGTTAACGTGTCTGTTGCTGCTCCTTTCCCTATCTGGTGTCCTCTTCATATGGTTGCTCTGGCTCCAAGGATATCGGATATTCAACGAAGGTGGCAGTTGCATGGCCTTGTTTTATTTATGAGCTTTCCAAAAAAAACTGGATCGGTTCGACATCTAGCCGGCTTTAAAAAAATTAATTTCAAGAAAAATAAGTTTAGACAAAATCTTTTCTTTAAGAAAAATTACAGTAATTCAACTTCCAAATCACCACCAACCCCGTACCCCCAATTCCAGGCCTTCCTTTGTACGCCCCAATCCGAAACGCCCTGGATCGAACGGCTAAAAATCACCAACAAGTCGTGTGCACGAGCCGGGAATGCGTCCGGATTGCCGGCTTTTTGGCCGAAAATTTAAATGACAAGGTTGCAAGGTCGCTCAAGTTTTATCTATTTTTTTAGATTGATCCATGCAGTGATTTCTACGAGTTTGCCTGTGGGAATTACGGCGTCAACCGGAATCTGGCTGCCAGCAAACCTTTACGGCATACAATAAGTGACGTACAGGGACGGTTGAATAAGCAAGTTCGGTCAATACTTGAGGTGGGAAGAGGGTTGTAATTTTTCAAAAAACGGCGGTTGAGGCTGACAACATCCCTACCGACAAGCCGTGGGATCGACTGGCAAAGGGGTATTATAAGAAATGTTTGGATGAAGGTAAGCTTAAGGGTTTAAGTTACTAACTGAGACAACAATTTTTAGACGAACTCGAAAAGTCTGGTATCAAGGCCGTGAAGGACGTGCTGGATTGGGTGGGTGGATGGCCGACGCTTGAAGGCAGCAGGTTTGGTCTCGGAATTTTTTTAGAATAATTTAAAGTCTACTTCCTAACAATTTTTACGAACCTTTTCAGATGGAAAGGCTGGAGCCGAACATGGGAGCGCCAGCTGGCCTTGATCATGAACAAGACGGGCGTGAATGCTGTACTCCTTGAACTTGCAGTCACCCACGATCCGGGAAATAGTAGTCGTTCTGTCATCGAGGTGGGTTCTTCTCTTAACCTTTGCTTCTTTCATCATGCTTGCCCAATTCTTGTGGGGTATAGAAGCGAGCTGTGCCAGTTTCGTCATTTGGTGTCGTTTGGAGGTTTTCTTAAGAAATTGATATATTTTTATTAGTGATGGTGATAGTAAAATTTCAGCTTGATCAGCCTAAATGGGGCGTAGGCTCTCGTTGGCCCTATTTGATGGGTGTCGAAGATCCGATGATCAAGAACTACACATCGTTGATGATCCAGACAGCCATTACTCTAGGTAATTAAACTTGTCGTAACCTATAAATCTTCTATTTTCAGGCGCCACACAGGAACAAGCCGAAAAAGACATGTACGAGGCCATGGAGCTGGAGATGAAACTCGTCAACTTCTCCGCAGAAGAACATGTACGCTGATGACTATATTCTCATTTTATGTTATTTAGGTGCGAAGAGATCCGGACCGCGGCAACAACCGCTATTTGATCAAGGACCTAAAACAGCATTTTCCTTATGTAAGGTTTCCTATTATTAATCTAAAACATTTACATTAGATTGATCTTGCCGGGTATATCGAAGAGGTTTTTGAAGGGCTGGTTGGGATCAACGAGAATGACACAATCATCATTCGTGAAGTCGATTATTTTAAGTCGATCCAGGTAGTCTTGATTTCCGGAATTCTGAATATTTTTTAGCACATTCTACGGGAAACTGACAAGCGCGTAATTGCCAACTACATCTCTTGGCGGATAGTTCAGGTAAAATAGGCTAATTTCGCATATATGGCTTCCTAGGGCTTTTCTCCTTTCCTTCCTCCTTCAGCTCGCGAGCCTTTCTATCAATTCAAGGCCAATCAGACCGGGATTTTCAACTCACCACCACCGGACAGGTACTGTAAACTTTCATTCACAAAAATTGTGCTGTGAAAGCCATATTTCATCATTCTAATTAAAAAAATGCAAATTCTAGGTGGGAAGACTGCGTGACCCTATCCGTTATCATGCTCGACATGCCAGTGGGCAAGCTGTTCATCGAAAACTTTTTCGAGCAGGAGAAAGCCCTAGCAAAGGTAGATCGCTCAGCTTCATAGCTTATACTTTATACGATTTTAGATGAGCGAGCTGACGCACTACTTGAAAAGTGAATTCATGAAGCAGCTTCGGGTGTTGGATTGGATGGATGAAGCGACAAGGAAGCGTGCAATCAATAAGGTGATACATATCAGCAAGGATTTCTATATAGTAAAAAATTAGGCCGGCTACGCCCGCTAACCCCGAATAAAAACTACTAGCGTGTTTTTATAATTCCCACTACGTTCCAGGCCGAGCGCATCGAATACAAGAACGGTTTCCCTCCCTTCCTCTTCAACGATACGGCTATGCAAAAGCATTGGGGCATGGTAATTTTTCATTTTAAAATATGCTTGGGCTATCGGAAAGACCATTTTTATATGCTAAGAAGCTTATAATCTTGTTAGTAGCAACAAGGGTCAGCTAATTTTACAACAACAACAAAATATTTCTACAGACGATAGCGCTTTTGAAAAATAGGATACGTTAATATTATTACAACCGAAATTTAGAGGGCTTTTTAACTATTTTTTTTACTCGGAAGCAACATCCAAAACACCTGAAATGTCTTATTTTTGGTCCCCCGTTCAGCGGAAATCGGAAATAGTGCCCTCTCCCCAATCACTCTCAACCCCCACGCGACGGGACTCTTTCGCAAGCGGCTGCTAGACCCGGTTGTGCAGAGAACGAGGCGGGGGGTCATTGCTGAAATATCGAGGGTGTGTGAGTTGGCAAGAGGGAGATGTCGTCTACCAACAAGAACACGCTAGCAATGCGGAGACCGCCAAGAAACCGCGACGCGAAAAAGTGACCGCCCGGTGGAGAGAATCGGCAGAAAAGTGGTCGTGCAATGTGTTGGGGCGCCAGTGACGTTTTTCGCAGCGGGTGAATCGCGTTCCAAAGGGCGCTGAGAGGGGCTGATTTCGAAGAGGTTCCAGAGCTCTTCCAGCGCTTTTTGACGGCGATGCAAAGAACGGCCATGCGGGCTGTGTGAGCCAGTATTTTCGGACTTGGGCCCGTGGTCTTTCGCAAAAATGAGCACAAACCAGAGCGGTCAGGGTTTGGCAGAGATCCATGTTGAGTGGTAAACAGTGACTAGAGTCGATGATACGTGCAAATGGTCGATGATTCGGGGTTATGCAAGGTTAACTAACTTTCGGTTTACAATCCCTTTATAGGGATCAGGAAGGCAGGTGAAGCCCAGCCCTCATCTGCAATTTCGAAAAGAATGAACCGGAAACGCTATGCAAAAAAAACGGAGGCAGACTGGGCCCATAATTAGAGAACAGAGCCAACTTCTGCTAATTTTAAAACTAAAATCGAAGTTATGTTAATAGATTTAGGCCTTCCCGGTTCCTTTAAAGTACAATAAACTGACAAATACCTTCGCTTTCAGGTAATCGAGCACAACGAACCGCTCCTCCATCTAACAATCAGACTCAAGTTAGAGCGCTACAAAGGTAACTTCTTTACAACTTCTGTGATCGGCTCGTATTCGCAGAGGAACTTGAGCGCCTTGATGAGCCGCTCGACAGAAGCACCTGGTACCAAAGCCCGGCTCAAGTTGATGCCTATTATGCCCCGAACAACAATGAGATGAGTGAGTTTGGAGTTTGTAGCCGTCTTAATAGAGGTTTAGTCTTCCCTGCCGGTATCATGCAGTTCCCATTCCTGACAATCGGGGTGCCGAACTATGTGACATATGGGATGGTTGGCGCTGTGATTGGTCACGAGGTTTCCCATGCCTTTGATGATCAAGGTACGATTTTTTCGCTGTTGTTGTTACCATTTTTTTAGGTGGTCGATACGATGAAGTTGGAAACCTGAATGACTGGTGGGACGCGGAGACGGCGCAAAAGTTTGCTGACAAAACGCAGTGCTTCGTCGAACAATACGGGTCCGTTGAGGTAGAGAACATCTGTTCGGCTAGCGAAACCGGCTTTGATTTTAGATCAAGGAAGCCGGTATTCGACTTAATGGTCGCTTGTCGCTTGGCGAGAATATCGCTGACAATGGTGGCGTGAAGACAGCGTTTAATGTGAGAATAATACCTGGATTTCTTTATTAAACAATTATAATAAAACCAGGTTTGAAAAAGCCGCTTCGCGACTTTTCAACCCTGGCCCCGTCTGATCCGATAATATTCTTCACTTTGCATAATTCTCACGATTTTCGATGACAAAAAAATGAGAAACGCTACCTCTCTTGCTTTATATAGGCTACCGCAACTTCCAGCGTATGCTAATTGTTTCCTAACAAAGAGGGTGGCCCATTTTTCAACAAAAAACTTAATTTTAACGTCAAAAACTGCTCATTCTTGAAAATATTATTAGCGTGCAGTCATCCCTAGACCATTACGCATCTAATGACGTATCAAACATGCACTTAACTACTCCCCTTATTAAGATACTAACTGGAACAACCTGACGGAAGTTGCATGCAAAGTGGCACACACCCACACACAAACAGACACTATTTTTTTTATATATAGTAGGATAAACCATTCAAAAACCTTTTAGGCATACAAAGCCTGGCGCCGTAACGTCACCGAAGAAGAGGAGCCAGCATTACCCGGCTTCCAAAACTTCACTTCTGAGCAGATGTTCTTTTTAGCGTATGCCAATGTGGGTTACGGCCATGATCATTAATTTTCTTATACAATACAAATAATAAAAATTCCTAAATAAAATAATACACTTTCAGAATTGGTGTTCGGTGGTTCGTCCGAAACACTACGTCCAACTGGTCATGACTGACGTCCATGCCCCGTCAAAATATCGCGCCATCATTCCGCTGCAAAATCGGAAGGTCGGTGGAAAAACTGGAAAATGTATACAACCAAAAAATTCAGGAGTTCGCCGACGCATGGAAATGCCACGATGGCACGATGATGAACCCGCGGCATAAATGCCAGGTGTGGTAATCGATCGCCCGCCACTTAAAAGCCATCTATCTATCTCAAAACGAGCGTTTCCTGTTTTTTTGAATTGTACAGCCAACGATTCTATTCTATTATTTTGCATTTTGTGTTCCCCCGGTGCAATTTCCCTTTGTGCTTCATCCCCATACCAAATTCTAGTCTCTTGTCTGAAGGGTTTTGCTTTCTTGATTGATTCCATACACCCCCCAAAAACGCTCTCCAATTTCCACGCGCCAACGAAGATCTCATTTTTGTACGCAGGGGCAAACGGTCTGCGAAAAGCCTTTGATAAACAAAAAGTTGCGATTTTCGATCAATTCCGTTTGCCACCTCTATTCATTTTCTTGCTTTCGATCCCGTGTCATTATTTAGCGCCTATTCAATGAGTGCTTATAAAGCTTTTATACCAACAAGACGGTGTGGTTTGCAATTCGAGTTAATAATTGTTATAGACTACAATCGGGTGCATAGCAATTGGGCGGGCTAAATGTACACAGAAAGTCCCAAGACAGCAACTCGCTGAGATCTGTGTACGGGGGGTGGCTAAATGGTGCGGAACAACATCGGGGGGTATTGCAAAAATGGTATGCGAGAAAGAAAAGCGAGAGAAGAGAGAGAGATACTGGGTGTGGTGTGAATTAGAATGCGCCGAGATCCTTGAGATGGCTCCTCATTCGGGCGATCTCCGAGTCGAGGGTGGAAACGCGGGCGTGAAGCCAGGTGTTGCGGCTCTCCAGAGTCTAAATTGTTTGTTTAGTTTATTGTTTTTTTACTGCGGCTTTTATTTTTAAGGATCCTTCGAAAACCCACCGTAACCTCATTGTAGAACGCATCCTTTTCAGCCTTCTTCCTCTCCCGATAACGGAAAGCGGCGTCACGATTCAGCGCCCGACGCCTAGCATCCGAAGGCGCCACGTCATCATCCTCAGTTTCATAAGGAGAATAGCGGGGCTTCTTCGATAGCCGCTTCTGCTTGGCCAACGGCGGACGCCCGCGTCTAGGCTTAGGTTCCGGCGTCGCTGCCGGCTCCTCGGGCTCTTCATATTCATAGAGGAAATCGTCCACCGGCGCTGGAGTCTGAAATTACAGAGTTTATTTCTTGGTTTCTTTGATTGCATTAGTGTCTAAAGTCAAAATCCTTACCTGAACCACTGGAACCGGCTCCTGCTGAAGTCCAGATTCTAGAACGACGAAGTTCGGCAGATATTCCTCGTTTGATGGAGGTGCAGTGTTTCCGCACGCTAAACAATTAAATGACATTTTTGTTATATGATTATCATTTATTTTTAGGGGTTATCTTGGACTTACCGAGTTGACATTCGGGATGATTCTCCTGAATGAAGCGGCTCCAATCGTCCCAATCAATTTCCTGGGCCTTTTCAGCAAAAAGTGGCTCGCTCAGTTCTTCAAAAGGCGAAGTCGCGGCCACCGGGAATGGATCCGAGAGATCGGTGAATTGTTCCAGCCACGGGAGTTCCTCCGCCAAGTCGGCGAACGGATCATCCTGGAGCAGGACATCTTGCGGCACGTCATCAAGTGGCACGGTCCCCAGGAAGGGATCGCTGCCGCTACTAAAATATTGTTTAAAAAAATGTTTATATTTTTTAAGCCTAGAATATGTTTTCGTGAAACTTACTGAAGCCTCAGACGCTCATAATCGGCCGGATGGCAGTCAAAAAGTAAAGGGCCCTCGGCGGCGGTTTCATAAACGGCGCCAGGGGACTCGTAAGGACCCCTGGGCCAGAAGTTGACAGGATACGAATTCATCTCCATTTCGATTTGATGGGGGATGGTTGATTGTTGAATGGCTTGTTGCCAGCGGGATTGCATTGAAGACAGTCATTATGACCTGAAAAGGTATAGGTGATTATGAACTAGATATCTATTAGATCTTGGTATTGATTTTAATTTTATCATAGTTGATTTATTTTAGCTTATTAAAGAATAACACGGGCAAAAGACAACTATTGCACTAGCGTATCGAAAATATCGATCGCGGCCCCCGCGCCTCTTTCATATGACACGTGGCAAATAGAGCAGGATTTTGCATTAGGACCCAATTAAAAACTATTATAATCTTAATCTAGATACTGAATTCTACTAGATTAAACTTTATAAATGACTATTTATAGCATTATTATAAACACTGTAAAAAAAACTTACAATAGTACAGGGTACTTAGCGTGCTCCTCGTAGAGAAAAGCGCTTTAGTTCATGACGAACTTGCTTAACAAATTCGTCACAAATAAAGGTTTCCTACAAGGGTTTTTGGATACGATCCTGAGGGTCGCGTTGCATCATGGCCGCCTATATGTACCCGCTAGGCCACGCCCCCTCCTACGGTGACCATAGCACGCCTTTCGTCGCGGGAACAAGCTTGCCTCCAAATGCCGGCACGGGTTTAACGGGTCTCATTGCATAAACAACATCTACAGTCTGGGTCATGACGTCGGAGCGATTGAAAATCTATTTCTGTGGTAGCATCAGGGCCGGCCGGCAAGATGCGTTGTTATATCGACGAATTATCGGTGAGTACAGAAAGCGCATCAGAATTCGATTGTTAGACAACATATAACCCATATTCTGAGGCTCGAAAAGTGGCATAAAATGATACCCAAAATCCGAGACTACATTAATCAGTATGCACATATCGCATACTACCTACCAAATTTTTCTACACGCTCAAACGAATTTTCTTGTAGGAATAACATTTCAGAAATGCTTTCCGGCTATGGACAAGTGCTTACAGAGCATATTGGCTTGGACGACTTGATGACGCCTCATTTAGCGAGTAAGAAATATAGCAAAAGCTTAAATACAGCCGCTTTAGAATTTCCGAAAGGAGTCGAATCGGATGAAAAGGACAAAGTCATCCACGATGTCGACATGGAATGGCTTCATCAAGCACACGGTTTGTTCCTGACCACAGTAAAAATATTATGTCATTTAGTGGTGATTGCGGAATGTACACAACCTTCCATCGGGGTCGGCTTCGAGTTGGGGGTGGCCTGGAAGCTAAATCTACCGACGCTCGCCCTATACCGGCCTCAAAAAGCACCGAACGGAACAACAGGTTAGCATAACCTCTAGGAAAACATGAACAAACCTAGCGGGAATTTCGGCGATGATCAACGGCTGCAAAAACGACTCTTGGCAAGTCTTCAACTACCAGGAATTCGACGAATTAGAGCCAGTTATATCCAAATTTTTGGAAAAGATTCATCCCGCCCCCCAACCTTGACCAATTACCGCAAATCCCGCTAAAGATCTACAACATATCGATCTCAAACACCCGTCCATAATTCTGCTCACCCGAATCTACCCGAGTACAATCCCCCTTGCCCACTTTCGGATATAAGATTCGTGATATTAAATTTGTTTACAGGTAATTTGCCTGACAGTCAATAAGCTCGATTCTATTTCAATAATATGTGATCACCAAATCGCTCTTTCCTTCGTATTTACTCAAAAGATGACATTTTGCGTGCAAGTCTCGTTTTTTCGTACATATCTATGCAAGAAAGCTATCGCAAAAACAAAAATAAACCAATTTTTCTTCGCTGTTTTTTACTGCAATCACCGAACATTTTTTAGCTTAACATCGAAAATTCCGTTTCATTCCAATACACACCGGGTCCCGAAGCGCTGACAATTGTCCAACTACGATAGGGGTCAACCTGGAGGATTTCAGAGCGCGTTTCGACTTTTTCCTCCTTCTCGCATCTTGGTTTACTATCCATTCCACTATTGTGTTTGAAATAAACTAATTCGCTATAAAATTCACTAGTTTTCTATGAAATCTACTAATCTCTGGCCAAAATATCCTCTTCCTAGCTTGATTCCTTGATCAAAGGATAAGATTGACGTAATAGTTTATTGATCGTTCCGGTTTCTGCAGCTGATTCAAAATAATTGGTTTTGGTATGTGGGTTAGTCAACCTTTTGTCTGAAAACTCTGCTATCCCGCGTTCTTTGGATTTTCCAGTTCGTCCCGCGCGCGCGTTGTGAGCTGCTTGTAATTAGGGGCTGCGCCCTCACTGTAAAATGATCGTCATTTCTCCACCGCTCGGCCACATCCCCGCCCAAAGGCTTCCGAGGACAACGAGTTTTTTGTCGGGACGGGTGAAACGCGCGTCTTCTCGCCTTTGTTGTATCGATTATTGTTGGATGCGTGGTGGGGGGGGCCTTCCTTTGAAAGAGCTGGCGGGCACACGGATGGAGCCCCTTCGAAAGGGTTTAGGCAGCGGCCCGGGGCCCGCCTGGTTGGCCCCTGAGGGCACCTAGGCATCTCTTATCGACCCACGCACTGCCTCTCTCACGGAGCCCCTATACCCCAGGGCCAGCACAACGGTTCCGCTTCGCTGCCGCCCACTAGCCGCGCATATTGACTTCATTTGGCCTCGTTATCCACTCGTCGCCTCCCTCCCCCTCGCTGACATTCTCATTAGAGGTTCAACATTCCTCGCGCCGTCGGGCCATTCCGGAAGGAGAGCATTTTTTAACCACTAAAAGCCCCTAGTTGTACCCTTACTTTCATGCTGCATAGTGAATATCTTATCTGCTAGACTTTGACCTTCTACACTAGCCACTTCGAGAGCGAAGCCCTAGCTTTTGGCCCTATTTTCTTAGCATGTAGTTCCAAAGCTGACTCCGATTTTTCATGGATCACCGCGGTTTGATTTGGTCGTGCGTGTGGGAAAACAGCCATAGAACGGGTCGTCCTGTCATGTCTTGCGCACTATAAACTACACTGTCCGATCGATTGGTTCTCCACCTGTTTTCCTCGCTCTTACGCCATGTACTAGCAACTTATTTTTTACTTTCAGGGTTAGTTATGGAAGGAGCACCCGGTGGAGATGCCGCAGGTGGCAGCCAGGGACCCCGTCCTGCCAACAAACGTCTTCAGCAGACGCAAGCTCAAGTTGACGAAGTCGTTGGAATTATGAAAGTGAGTTTGCTTTAATTGGGTACGCTCGGGTGGAGCAGGTTTACGTGCCGGGCGTTTCGTTCTTTCGTTTTAATTGATTATATCAATTTCGTTTCAGGTTAACGTCGAGAAAGTGCTGGAGCGGGATCAGAAATTGTCGCAGCTTGACGATCGCGCCGATGCTCTCCAGGTTCATTACATTTCGAAATCTCATGTTCTTGTTTAGGAGGGTGCCTCCCAGTTTGAGAAGTCTGCAGCCACGCTCAAGCGCAAGTACTGGTGGAAGAACCTGAAGATGATCATCATCATGTGCGCGATCGTGACTGTCTTGATCATCATTATCGTCATCTGGGCCGGAGGCAAATGAGCGACACGTTCTATCTACTATCTATCCCATTCATTCCGTTAGAGCAACTCACGTCGCGATGATTTTCCCCTTTTCTGGACCACCAATTTCTACTCTTACTCCTCCACTTTTAGCCCGAGCTCTAAATTTATTTCATTCCGATTTTGTCATCTTGTGTGAATGCCATTATTAGATCGCCCGGTTTCTCCATTTAGCATTCTTTGCTTCACCTAATCTAACTTATAGGCTTTACAGCCATGCTAAATGAAATGTTTATCGGATAAATACTTTCTCCCCAATAGGTGCTGATATTTCGATTTGTGTTCTGAAAATGCACCGATATCCCATCTTCCAGACCGCCGCTCGCGCTATAATGTGATTTTGCAGGGGTTTGGGAATGACCTTCGATCGGACGTCGTTCTTCAAGGCTCGGGCCAAGTTGCTGACTACAAAAGGGGCGGCTGCGGCAACAGATCCTGACAAGCCAGTTAATTCAGGTCTGGTAAATTTTGCGTTGAAGGGCGTTACATAGCGTGGTTAGTCGTATTCGATTTTTTCTCCGGCGCTCGCTGAAAATGTCGGTTTTAGGTCGCCATCCCGTGACAAGCATCTCCTATCGTCGGCATTCTTGTGATCTCCAACAACTTGCCTCTGATCTCTATGGTATTCGCTATGTTTTCTTTTTAACTTTATTGAGCTCAGAATTCTACGATGCTCTCCGTGGCAAGCAGATACCATATGTGCTTTTGAATTCACCGATGTACGACATGACTGATGCAGAACGTGATAAACTAGATTATGATTCTGATAAGGTAATCTAGTTTCCCTATCGAATGCTTTTTAGGTCTTGAGACACACGGTCACAATATTGGAAAATGCCTATGCTGATATACAACGCGATAAGGAGAAATTCAGCTGTCTTCAAGTAATTACCGTTTCGAATATTGTTTCATTCTTCAGGAATTTAATCACCTTCTGCACGTGTACTGGATTCTGAAGGAACGCTATCAGCATATGGCAAATGTCTTCATGATAATGCGGTACTACATTTAGCTTGTTTTGAGTTGCTTTAGGAAGCATCGTATTCGTGCTATGGCTGAGCGCAAGCAATATGAATCACTTCATGCACTCACAAAATATGTGATGGCGCAAGGAGTAGACGTCGCCGGAGAATGGGAAAGAAGCCTTGGCACAGGCAGCACGAACAAAGGCTTCAGAAGCAGACAAGGTAGTTCTTGGGACGAAATTTATTTTGTTTGCTCAGGTTCCTGCGATGGTGATGATTGGGTTAACACGGAACGGATTTCAACGCGCGTCGGCGTCGCCCCGGTTCTCAAGGTCCTCGACGATGCGAAACACCCGGTTGCAAGCGACGCATGCCCTGCAGAAGACCATGACGTCGGTTTATCTCGAGTCTTTTCACCGATCCTTTCCAGGAAGTCACTGATGATGGTTTTACCGATGAAGAAAAAGCACAATTGATGGCTGAGAATGAGGAAATGTTTGCTCAGTTCGGACAGGTATGAGTAGGAGTGCCACCTATATATTTTTTTATAGATAAATTCCGAGATTGATCAACTCGAAACGCAAATTGCTGAAATCCAACGTCTCCAAGACCGATTTTCGGATAAGGTGAGTTTTGTATGATTCTTTGCAGCAGCGTCGAAAGAAATCTTTGTTGAAATTCATCTGTGCTTTTATAGTTGACTGAACAAGAACACGACATCGAGACGGTCCACGATACAGCGGTGCGGACGACGGAAAATTTGAAGGAGGCAAATGAATGGATTCGTGACTCCATCTCCGATAGTGCCGCGAGACGGATGATCGTGCTATTTTGCATCGTCGTGATCACCTTCTCGCTCTTGTTTATTGACTGGTATAACGCCTGACTTGTGCATCTCTAATTTGGTCTTCGGGGCGATTGGCGCTGCTTTTCACCCTGTTTCCTCTAACTGTTTGAGTCGTAGTCATCCCCTAGCGTATTAGTTTCCGTACCGAAATACAGGTACGAAAATAGAAACCTGAACAGTATAGGGTACCTGTGCACATGGGGGCGGTACGTATTTTTGACTATATGAGGCTATAATCTATGTGTTTTTTTTTGCTGAAATCATATTTAAGGAACTAAGCTATGACTAGGGCTGAACTTAGCTTCATTCAAGCCAAGTTTGAGCTTCAGTTAGGCGAAGCTGACCTCAGTTGTGACCAAGTAACTTCGGTGGAACGTCTCGTAGCTCCCCATCGCTAAGTCAAGATAGCCCCCCCCCCGTGTGCACAAGTACCCATCATAGATACGGTCGATTTTGCAAGCGTGCTTTCGTTCGTACTTTTGTTAATCGTTTGAAAGTGAAAGGTGGCCAAAAATGAAAGTGATGGTGACTTTACGGCCTTCTTTCATATTTTTATTTGGGTTTTTGGTTCAGCGCTCGGATGTATTGTTACTGTGGTTTATGCATTGTATACTCGTCATTTTCCTTTGCTCAGATAATATGCCTGAAAAGATTTTTGCTTAGTCTTCGGTTCGTGTCGGGCTTTTTAATGTGATACTGTGATATTTTCTGTACTTTCTCGCTGGTTCTTTTCATGACAATTTTCTTTTGCTCAGATAATATGCCTGAAAAGATTTTTGCTGAGTCTTCGGTTCGTGTCGGGTCGGGCTTTTTAATGTGATGCTGTGATTTTTTTCTGTACTTTCTCGCTGGTTCTTTTCATGACAATGGCTATAAATTTACACTGGGGTCACACACGCACGACAAAACGAATTCTTATGCGGGCTTAGACGAGACATTTGATTTGAGATGGTTACTTGCAGAATATATGCATATAGGCTTTGTGACCGCCGATGGAAATTCGCCTAGCCTCAACCACGAGATGTTTGACATTCGTGAAAAGTTCGACGAATTTTCTGCAACTCTCGATCCCTTGAATCCGGCGTCACACAACTGCTATGCGCGCGAAGGGACGACACGGTTTGTACCTGCGATACCAGTTCCCGTTAAAGATTTCGGCCCTCTTACCCGCCCAGCACGTGAACGGCCGGAACAGCTGAATATTTCATGGCGCACATCTTGGGAGAACATCAACATTACGAAAATGGAAGTATGGCGCCCAAACGCATCGGCCCATAACTGAACAAATACATGAGCAAGCGGGCTTGATAATTGGCTGTCTAGCTTGTTACGTTACCAAGTTGTTAGCCACAAGGTCGAATACAGGGCAAGTTGGGCAATATGCCTTCATAAGTTTGGCACCGTGGTAAAAGGTTATTGGGATGAGGGCGAGGTTTTTGATGACATTATGCCACGCCAAGAAACCGTACTCATGACGCATATCACTGAAACTAGTTTCGCGAGTTAGGATTCTTACCGCAAAGTTCGTATCGTTAATAGATCGAGTCCGAGCGATGGAACGCCAAGACACACGTTGCCGATTACACGATACCATCGATTGATCTAGATGTAAGTAAGTATCTATAAAAAGATCTTGGATTTAATCGCCGTACCGCTTCCATGGATTTTCCATAACCTAAAAGAAATCCGGCGTCATATTCCAAATGGCTCCAGAGCAACATATGAAAATGGGAACCGATTAAGATAGCCCAAAGGAAGGCTTTGACTAGGTGTATCTGAGTATAACGTATTTTATTTACATTGATAATGGCGGCTTACCATCCCGTTGGACCAAATTGCTTTATATTCGAAAAACCAGGCGACTGCCGTGTAGCGGTTGAACGAGAGAACCTGATCGTGCATTGAAAGATCTCATAAAGAATTGCGCGTTTTGGGTTGCTATCCGTGTTCGGAACCGTGAATGGCCGTCTAGATGCCCTTTTTCTGTATTTACCAATTGTGAAAACAACATAGCAAGCGCCGCATTATCGTAGAGCATCATAGAATATATGAAAAACGGGTCAGCAACCGCAGGAAGGTCCCCAGCTAGTATCAAATGTGCTGTTAGCCCAGCCACAAGGTGAATAATTTCGAAAAACACTGAATCGAAACTCTCACTTTGCCCCTTTGGAGAAAAACCTACATGTCGTGCAGTATATATCGAAATATGCCGATCTAAAGATAGCCCTGCCCGAGCTAGATAGCCTTGTCACGCAGAACGCTAACATTAAAATATAGAAAAAGGCGATAAAGTCTCCTAATGTCATATCTTTTGGAATTTGACGAACGTTTGAAATTTCCGCCTACCACATGATCAGCACTAAGGGCCTGGTTTGCACCTGCCCCTCTGCATTCGAGATTGGCAGCCCAAATTTAACCCCTTTCACGCCCTCCTGGATTGCTTCGCATTATCGGCATCGAAAAAAGTTTCTTAGGGACTAACTTAAATAAAAATAAATTACGGAAGTGTTTCTAAAATGTTTTTTTTTACCATCCCTGAACTTCAAAACTTTACAAAAGTTTATTAAGAAAATACAAAAAAATAGCAATTTTTGGACCAAAAATGGGCCTTTTTTACTAAAATGACGGAATTTAAAACGACTTCAAATGTTTATAGTTAAATGTTGAAACAACAGAGTTCACACGCTCAACAAAAAACAATACGAAGATTACTGTTTACTACGCAATGGAATTTAGGAGGGTCTGAAGCTGCTCCAAATTTTTTCGCAATGTGTCGATGTATTCGTTCAGTTCTTCGGTGGGACTATCCTGGCATTGCCATTTCTTGACGCCAATTTCTAGCCCTTTAAGGAGGTCTTCAGTTGGATAAAGTTCTTCACGAGCCAATTCAATCTTGTTTGAGAGATCCCATTTATCAAAATACACCTTTGCGATCTTCAACCAGGAGTTATCGTCGTGTTGATTTTTCACAGCATAATATTGTTTTCTCCATCTGCCGTCTGGAAAAGTTCTGGCCAGTTCGTTTTTGATATTTGTATAAATCATGACATTGTCTCTCGGGGCAAAATCAACAATTGCGGCGTGCTCCGTCCCTTTCCACCTTCCTAAAATTAATTATATGATAGTTCGATATATTGTGGACTCTAGAACTAACCGCAGTTCCGCTCATGTAGATCAGAAATGTATAGGAGCACCCTGAGCATAACCAATTGAACAACGACATCCACGCAAAGACTGTTCTCATCAGTAAGGTTTTCAAGGAGCTCAAAACTGTCGTTCCATTTAGTAGCAATGTATCTGAAATATGCAAAGATGTAGATGTATACGCAACGTTGTAAAATCCTTACGGGCTTGTTTCAGTTCCAGTCGCCATGCTAGGAGGAATAATATGAGATTTGGGGCCGACACCGATTAATGCTAATAATTTATAGCAATAGAATTCGGCGACGTACGGCCTCTGGCCTAAGCGCCCGCCTTTTGGGCCATAATGGTGGAATCTAAACAGAAATTGACCTAGAATGAATGAACAGACAACATACTTAACGTTGTACTTCGAAACCGAATCTTCTCCATGAATCTGGACAAACGCAAGGGTGCTGGTTGAACAGCCTTCTAAGTCCGCGTCTCGTTCTTCGAAATAACAAACGAATTTGGAATCTTCGTTTCCCCTGTTCTGATCCTGGAGATTGCGGAAGTACTGCTCCGTCGCTTTGCGAATCAAACCCACGTCACCATCCGTCCAAGCAGCGACTTTAGTGTGATTCTGGATTACAAAGTTGTTGAATTCGACGTAGACATCGAAGAATCCGCTTATGGTCAAACGTTCGTGAAGTTCGACAGCTTCATTTGCTTTTTCAGCTTTGTCCCAGCGCTGCTTCAACACGATATCAACACAGTCCTTGTACAGTGTCCAGCATAGAAGTTCTGCATGTTTCTGAAAATAAAAAATATAGGTTAAGAGCAATTTTAGTCCTCTTTTTTTAAATTTCAGAATTACCTGTGAAAATAACTAACCAGAATCAAAATATCACCGTCTCGAAGCCCTGTATTTTCCAATGGACCTATTAACCAGTCGATGCGACGATCGCTGCTATCGAATATCTCTTGAAAATCTAACGCAATAACAAATCTAGAGAGAATTACATCCCGGAGGCACTTGACTGTAGCCTGAAGCAAAATTGTATTTAGTACATAAATGGAAAGCATACCTGAGCTTCGAATTTACATTTAACAGAGCGGTGCGACCTATTTTCGTCATCGCGCAGGTCAACGACAAAAATCATGTCACCTAAATTCATTTGGAAATTAATACGAATCCATCCTTTTATTTTCCCGTGGGGGTTCTAAGCGAAATTTTTGTAGGCAGTATTTTGGGCCACCTGTATGAGAGCAGCAAGGGTAATAACCGTAGACCTGATGAAGAAGAAAAATCAATCGTTTTCTGAGGCGTAGAGGTGGTTATCCGTATAGAAGCAAGTGGTTGATCGGCGCCGGCTAGGTTTGAACTTGCGACACCAATAACATATACTCGAAACAGCCTCAGGGTACGGGTTTGTCGAGGTGCAGAGGAGGGGGCGGTGATGCAATAATGCCGAGACATTCTCCTGACGCTTGCCTTTTAAGTCGACGGATTAGCCAGTAAGAAAAATTTTTTTAGGAGGGCGAGCGAGAGCGACAGTGACGAGGATAATGACATGCAAATTTTGAAACCGCATGAGATTTGGATCGTGAACCAGTAAATTTAATTATATTTATTGTGGTAAGAAAAAAGATCCCAACCTATGAATCCCAAAAGCTGTTCAAATTTTATGTAGTTTGTGGTGATCTGGCTTTCAATTGAATTGTTTATTTACAATATTCTCGCAAAATTCATAATTGTAGGTACCTAGCAGACACCGCATGAGATCCATTTTCATTTGTCCATTATGTTATAGTGCCCTGATCAGCTCTTCCATATCTATCAAATACCAGTCAGCCATCGCTTTCACAAGCGGTTCCATCTGAAATGATGGGGAACATATATGAAAATATTCTTCTGACGTCTTACGTAGAATTTCCCGTATCCAATACAAAGATCGGCTGGCGGGCAAGCGACCATATCAATCGTTGCATCACCCAACATAACCAACTTCTTGATGTTGCGCTCAGCTTTCAGAACCCGCAATAAGTTGGATTTACCATGCTGAATGGAGATTAAGGCTGCCCTGCTAAACCTACATGGCCTTGCCCATCTGAAACACCGCTAACGTCCAGATCTTTGTAGTTACCATTCGCATCAAACACGAGATCGTGCGAAAATGTGTGGTCTCTGTGAAAGCTTACACTTCAGCTACAAAAGTCTTACCTAGAGATCCCCAAATAATCGGCCAAATTATTGGCGTTCTCTCTGAAACCACCACCGACTAGGTAAACATCGATTCCCTTCTTTTTCAGAGCAGCGATCAAATCAACACCACCGGGAGCCAACTAGAAAAAAAATCAACAAAGTCCCAGGCTCAACCCACATGCTCTTTAGTTGAGTTCATCTGGATTTTCAGGAATTGTTCGTATTGTGCCCTGGAGATATTCATCATGTTCAGCCGCATTCGCATCGAGTCGCTAGAAATTGGCTTAGTTTGTGCTCGGAAAATATTGGCATTACGCATGGGAGAAGGAGCCCGACATGGCCAGGTTGGTGATTTTTTCGATCGCCTCGAACATACCGAGCATTCGGCCTAATTCCTGTAAAAAGCAAAGCATTGGAGATTAGCTAGGTGAACGCGCCTGAAAGACATTATCTTTCCTTAGCGTTTGATCGATATCAATGCAAACAGCATCGCCTGGTCCTAGGGATTTCCAGACTTTCCTCGCCTCCGGCTCAGACCTGAATGATTGCCGAGTTAAAGAAGTCCAACTTTTCTCATTGCGCAAGTTTGGAAAATGTACCCACATTTTTTGCGAGATTCGATTTGGTGGCTCGATTAACGGCACCGCTAAAGCGATGGTAAAAACGCCAAGGAATATAGGTAAACGCGGCATTTCGTTGTGTAGATCGCGGTTTCCTCGACGCGCAATGTGAAATATTTAAGAGCCTGTTTCCGTCTGTAATCGACGAACAGATCTCTTTGATCAGCCGGAAGGGAAATCGAGAGAATGGGAAGGATGGGTCGGGGAAATTTCACGCGCGAAGGTCTTTTGTTCGGCAAAAAGCGATTGGAAGCCGGGACTTTGGCAAATGATCGGGTGATACTGATATCAAAAACGTTTCCTAATCCCCATTCAGCAACTGCCTTGAAATTTGATCGGTGCGTCATTCCATTCAAAAGTTACATTCAAGAAATTTATCTTGATACAAGATATGGCAAAGCGAATTATCACAAGGGAGCGACCATCACATAATGTCAGCTAAAAGCAATCAGCAAAATAAATATCGTATATTAAATCGGAAACGCAGAACCGGGGCACAAACGGAGCAACGCTAGCGGTTAGGCGAAATAAGCACAAGAGTTTTTCATTTATAATTCTAGTCTGGAATGAATCTCATATTCAGTTATACTAAGGGATTTTAAAAGCAAAAGTTCAGCTGACTGTACATTTATCAGCTATTCCCTGACCAGCTCGTGGACCAACGCGCCTCCTAAAAGAAATTAATATTGTAAATTAAAAAACGACAAACCCGTTCTCCTCGGCTTGCAGCTGTTCGGCTAGTCGTCGATCGAGTTCTTCGGGTGAAAGATTGGTGCCAAGCGATTCTGCAAGCGCCGACGCCAAAGCTCGATCGCTATCCATCTAAAAATATGATTGAAAATACAACGTCAAATTACCTGTGCTTGACGGGAACAGCCCTGTTGTTGTCGAACCAAAGCAGCGCGCCTGAAAATACAAATCACCAAAGCCCAATAAATTCATAGAAACTGTCGAAACAGGACTACAGTGGCGTCCAAAAAAGAAGGCTGCACCCAGGAAGCTGTTACTATTCGTTTAGCTGGATATACTCTTGGCCAAACGCAACCTTTGAAGCATTTGCGAGGTCGCAAAATACGGTAAGCGGGGGCACAGGCCCCGAAATTAACGTTTAATCGCATAAATTTTCAATTTAAAATCCCTCAAGAAATCGAAGGCTGGCACAGGAATTTTTCCGTTCCAAAAACACCATCGAGTTTTTAGCACCGTCGATTGACCTAGAATCAGTGTTTCTGTGTTGGGATTTTGATTGATCCAGCCCGGATTCCCCGTTTTCATAGCGCCAGGAGCGTCAAAAATTGGGCGCGCTCGGGGGAAAGACCGCCGGTGCCGCAACCGGACCGATTTTGAAGCCCATAAATCCTTGGCTGAATACGGATCTATTTGCGGACTAGAAACACTGATTCTTGGTAAATCGACGATGCTGAAAATGATGATGTTTTTGAAACGGAAAATTCATGGAGAAAAAGTATATTTTCGGTGCGGTTCTAAATTCAAATTTAGGCAACTGAACGTTAAATTCGAGGATTCGTAAATACTCAAAACATTGCGTTTGCCAAAATATATCCAGCGAAACGAATAATAACCGCTTCTTTGACGTTGCTTTCTTTTTGCACGCGACTGTATGTATCCTCTCCGGGGCCACGAAACAGGAAAAAACTCACGCAGCAGGAGTCATATTCGATGCGCGAGCCGCACAATCGTGATCCACCTCATGTCGATGCGAAACGCAGAAATTCTGGCGGCATGTCGAACACGTAAACGGCACCAGCTAAAAACAAAATGAATTTAAAAACGAAACTCAAGCTTTACCTCGCGCTTCTTGCAGCCCGTTTTCGTACATTGGTTCTTAAAGATGCGCTTCTTTTTGGTGGCTGGACAGTTGTTATTGATGTGCTGATCGACCAAAGCGTCGATGCTGCTCCCCTTCGGGCACGGGACTGGCTGACTGCACATAGGGCAAACCGGAACTTGAACATTCTGAAAAGGATCGACTATACAAGCCAGGATAGAAGAATTGCTGAACCTAGTGACTGAACCCATTAGGTCGCCAGCCTTGCAAAATCCAAAAGCCGGTATACCTTTTTATGCAATCCGGCGCATCCATGATTATCATAGGAGAAGTGTGTAATGCAGAAAGTGTCGCTACACGAGTCGCATTTGATCGGGAGGAAATCTAAACGAAACATTCAAGCCAAAATACTGAATCATACCAAGCTGGTTGCACAAATCGACGCCGCAGTGCCGGCCAAGTGTGGGGAATTCCGCCATCTGAAAAGAAGAATTGTTATAAATGAACCCCTGACCTTGAGAGAGACAGTAAAATGAAAAGAATGAACACATGCCTGAGTCAACTCGCCCTGATGGTTTCGGAAATCGCCCCAAGCCCAGAAAACTACTACTAAAATAACTTGCTTAGAGCTTCAAAACTCTTTTCCAAACCTAAACTGCTAAAAAAACTTCTTTCTAGGTATAGCACTTCAAATTGGCCCATTCAATTATCCGGTAACTAACAAAGCGACGCGAACAATGCGAAAGACGGGATTGTCAATGTCAAAATTCTCAGAAGCGCGAGCTGATGCAGTATCACTTGAAAAACTTTTCGCCAGATATTCTGATTAGCTATAAAAGATTACAATCAAAAGCAAATAAATTACAATGGCAGAAAGCGCTCAAATTCCAAAATCGAAGGCCTGGTACGTAACACACCAAAATACGTTTAACTGTAGATTGGAAAGAACGGAATGTTCAAAAAATCGTGTTTTTCGGCTTATTAGTAGTAAATAAAAGGAACCCACGAAAAAATACGATTTGAGATTGAGATTGAGAACAGGAGAAACGTGAAATGGGTTTATTCGACACCACATTTGTGGCTTGCGGAAGGTCGAACACTTTTTTATAAGAACTGAATTGTCATCATGGTTTCCAGAAGCCTCTAGATCTTTTTGGACCGTCGATGACTCATTGTCATTCTTTACTGGGTGTCATGGGATGGCTTTCTGCCAGCATTTCAAATTGGCGCCGTACTATCGGCCCCATGCGCATCAAGCGAAAGGCGACCAAACAAAACCGATTTCTTCGCAACCGATTGGGTCTTTTTATTTCGATACCCGGCTCGTGTCTGGCCTAAAAAGTTCAAGTCTGCGTATTTTAGTTCGAACTTTTTGAATGAATTATATTTGGGCGGTGTTTTATATCTATTTTTTTTTCAGCTTCGTTAAGAGGTCTACTTGGATAACTCACATTCCGTGATCAACTCAATACAAATGGGTTCTTAGTAAGTTTGGATTTTCTTTCGGTGATATGTTGTTTTGCAGCGGTGGAGGATACGGAGGCGGAGGCGGCGGCGGCGGCGGCTATGGAGGAGGCGGCCGTAGCGGCGGACGTGGCGGCGGTTATGGCAGTGGCGGCGGTGGCCGTGATCGTGGATTCGGAGGCGGTGGTGGCGGCGGCTATGGTAAGTTGTATACGAAACGAGAATCGAAATAATTAACGACCCAGCGAAAACTTGTCGCATTTGGTTTCCTGGACTAAACTCCCGACACCGTTACAACTTTTTTATTAGACTCCCCTTGGATACAGAGCGTTAAAGTATATCAAAATATTCGCCAAGGCAATAAGAACATTTTGTAAAGCTTGACAAGGCTGCAGATCAAAAGATGGTCGAGATACAAACTCAGAACACCAAAAAAAAGCTCCTTTCAGGCGGTCGTGATGGCGGCTTTGGTGGAGGACGCAGCAATGGCTCAGCCGGTGGCAAGCTTCGTGACGTCGATTGGAGCCACGAAAATCTGAAGCCCATCCAAAAGAACTTCTACCGTGAGCACGCCAGCGTCACTAGGCGCGAACAGGTAGGTATCAGAAATTCCCCCATCTCACTATCATCACTATTCTAGCACGAGATCGATCAGTGGATCGCCCAGAACCAAGTGACGCTCCACGGTCGTGATATCCCACGTCCGATTTGGGAATTCAATGAGTCGCCCTTCCCCGATGAGCTGATCTCGCTGCTCTATGGAGCCTTCCAAAAGCCGACCATTATCCAGTCAATTTCCTGGCCGATCGCAATGAGTGGCCGTGACATCATTTCCATTGCCAAGACAGGATCCGGCAAAACACTAGCGGTAAGTTGCAAATATCATACCGAAATTACCTTTTTTAAGTTCATGCTCCCCGGAATCGTGCATACGATGAGCCAAGGACCCCGTCAACACCGTGAGGGCCCATCCATTCTAGTCATGCTGCCTACACGTGAATTGGCCCAACAAGTTCAAGATGTCTCAAAGGACTTCTGCCATGCTCTTGGCTTGAAGATGACTTGCCTGTTCGGAGGAGCCTCTAAAGGCCCCCAAGCTCGCGACCTTGAGCGAGGTGTCGACATTGTCGTGGCGACTCCTGGTCGTCTCCTCGACTTCCTGGAGAACGGGACAACAAATCTGCGTCGATGCTCTTTCTTAGTGCTTGATGAAGCCGACCGGATGTTGGATATGGGTTTCGAGCCGCAGATTCGCAAAATTGTTTCTCAAATTCGCGTAAGTTGCCAAAATCATAACAGTTAATTACATGATTTAGCCGGATCGTCAAACTCTGATGTTCTCTGCTACTTGGCCAACCGAGGTGCGCACACTCGCCCAGGACTTCCAGAAGGATGCGGCTTATTTGAATGTCGGCTCCCTCGAACTCTCTGCCAACCACAACATTTCCCAAATTATTGAAGTTGTGCCCGAATTTGAAAAGCAGCAAAAGTTGATGGGATTGTTGAACACTATTATGGGCCAGGTAGTCTAACTTGCTATTCCTTTCAATATTTCTTTAGTCTGATTCAAAAACTATTATCTTTGTTGAAACAAAGCGGAAAGCTGACGACATCACGCGCTTTATGCGTCGCGACGGTTGGCCGGCACTTTGCATTCACGGCGATAAGCAACAAGGAGAACGTGATTGGGTACTGCAAGGTTAGTATTTTATTTCGGGCATTTGATGCTTGTTTAGAATTCAAAAATGGCAAGACGCCAATCCTGATTGCCACTGACGTGGCCGCTCGTGGGCTAGGTAAGTTAGTATCGAGTCGTACTCTTGTCGAGGGCGCCACTTCCACGTGTCGTTCAAAAAAAGATAGGACGGCATTGCGAAGTGCGTGCCCTTCTGGGTGCAAACTGGATCCATCAGAATCAAGTGGCCATTACCTTTCGTGGCCCTTCGTTTTTGTCGGAGAACTTGGAGAGAGACCAAAAACATTGATACGTCGGCGGTCCACATTGTACACATCGCCCAATTGGAGGGGGGTTTGGAAGTGAAATCGAAGCTCTTTCGTAATCTGGAAGCTAGACAACCCTGATCCGTGAGCGATCTTTATGGCTGTCTCGTTACCATACAATTCGGCTCGACTTTTGACTACCGATCCCTTTAATAATGAACACCGTGAATTCGCGGTGATTTGTTGGCGATGTACGATGTGGGAAATGGATGTGGAGGCCCACTAAATTGAATCTTGGGCCCTTCACATTCAGGCCATTGACTGTCAACATTGTCTCTCCAGGATTGCTCGCGATGGACATTCAATGCACCCATGTAACTCGGCCGGAACACCCGTTTTCTGGGTCCCTGATCAGGTTAGATTTTCGCGATATAGTCTTTTCATTGGACTTTTTCGCGTCAGTCTGCCGGATTAAGAAAGGCTTGCTTAACCTGAACTGTTTAGATGTCGATGATATCAAGTACGTGATCAACTACGATTATCCGAATAATTCTGAGGACTATGTCCATAGAATTGGCCGAACTGGGCGAAGAGATAAGAAGGTTAGTTTGAAAACATATATATGAAACATCTCGATCAGTTCCCTATTTACGAAATCCTTTCAGGGTACCGCGCACACCTATTTCACACCCCAAAATGCCCCGAAGGCCCGGGACTTGATCAAAGTCTTGGAGGAGGCCAAGCAGGTTGTGCCGCCCGAGCTCTATGAGATGCAAGGTCGCGGCGGAGGAGGGCAGAGCCGCGGACGGTGGTCCGGAGGCGGTGGAGGACAGAAGCGTGGTTACGGAGGCGGTGGAGGAGATTTTGCCGCGAAGCGTGGAAGGTATGTTAAAGTTTTAAGTTTATCATTTATTAGTGCTCCGAAAAAGCAATATTAATTATGAATTTCAGGTTTGACGGTGGTAGCCGAAGTTACGGAGGCGGAGGCGGTGGCGGCGGTGGCCGTTGGTAATTGCCCCTTCTCAAACAGTACAAAATCCTCACCCTTCTCATCCGAGTCACCCACTGATCTGAATCCTTAGAATTTTTGGATTTAAGCCCTTTATCGCGATTTTGAATTGTTTGTGCAACTAAGCATTTATTGCAATTTCTTGATAATAAACATTTTGTGTTGCTGGACTTTGAACACATCTAATAAAACGGCCGTCAAGAGGGAATTGCCTCCTCATCAACATCATCTGTAATTTAGGAGCTGGCAATGGGAAATGGAAGTTCTAACTTACCATCAATTGGGTAGGGTCGCGGTTCGTAATATTCAGGGATAGGAAAAGTGTCTTTGACGAATAATAAGGTAACAATAAATAGTATATAGAGTTGAAGAATATTTGGTCTGCCAGATGGGTTCATCAGGTTCCAAAAAATAGAAAGTCCGGTCGGGAATGGTCTCTGCAGCGAGGGGAAAGCGCCACGGGGGGTTAACCCGGTTTTCGGGATTTCCGCGTGTTATAGGACGGCTCTCAGTGGGTCACCGCAAGGTGTCCGTCGATAGAACTGTAGTGGACCTATTTACGGGACAGGGCGAAATCCACTACAAGGCCGGCCGCAACCAGTTCTCTTTTAGCCAGCCTTTTAGTCAACCGTCAATAGTTTATTATTGTGTATCAACAGAGGGGCGGTGACTGGCGGCGAGGGCGCTGCGAATGAAATCCGCAAATTTGGCCACGTCACTTTTTGGAATTGTTGCACTCGAAAGCGTGTAAGACAAGGCTTGGAATGTAAGGTAAAATCGGAAATGAAATTTCATACCAGTATAATTTTTGCTGGACGGTATCCGGGAAGGTCAAGCGTGGGTGTTCGGGAAATTGAAAAGGACCGTGTTTGCGACAGGTTCAAGGATCCTCGAACGCGCGGCTCGCTAAATTTGGCCGATTTCTGGAAGGTTGTACTGCTTGTTTTTAAAGCCGGAAGCTATCAAAGAGTATCCGCTAGGTGCATTTTGCGTTGTGAGTTTTTAACTTTCGCGTAAAACGGGATAGATCATAAATGCATTTATCATTAATGCATGCGGCGAACTTTCTTGACTTTGCGCATGCGCATACGCTTGGCCTTGCGATGACGGTATCCCGAAGATTGTTGATGGTTGGAAACAGCGGCCGCAGGGGGAGCCTGACCAGCACGTGGTGGGCATGGGCAATACGCAGCATCCTTGCCAGGGCCTCCATCCTGTCCTGGGCCACCTGGCTGTCCATCTCCACCTGGGCTTCCCGGGCTGCCGGGCTGAAACGAATTTGAGTGTTTCCAAAGTTAGAAATGAATCCAACCTGTCCTTGCGGGCCGGGAGGTCCTGGTGGGCCAGGCTGAGGGGCGTTTCCGGGAGGTCCGGGCTGACCAGCAGGTCCAGGCGGGCCACGACCTCCAGGTTGGCCAGGTTGGCTGACGTATTTCTTGCCGGGTTGACCGGGTCCACCAGGCTGTCCGGGTTGTCCAGGCTGTCCAGGTTGGCCGGCATCTCCAGGTGGGCCAGGTGGGCCGGGTCGAGCGCCTCCTAGAATTATAATTAGTTGTATTTCCAAATGCCGTTCATACCATAGCTTTGTCTTCCAGGTTGTCCATCATCTCCATCGGGTCCAAGAGGTCCTGGTGGTCCATCGGGTCCTGGCGGTCCGGGTGGGCCAGCGGGGCAAGTTTGGCAGCCACCAGTGGATTCATCCCCAGTTCCAGGTCCAGCGGCATTACCGTCATTTCCGGGCTGTCCAGGATGGCCATCCTCACCGGGGTGTCCGGCTTCACCAGGGGGTCCGGGCGGGCCGCGGGGGCAGTTGCTGGGCTGCTGGCCGCACTGGCAGTTCGACTGAAAGAAAATGTTGAATCCATTTTTTTTTGGTTTTCGCGCTACCTGTCTCTTCTCTCTCCTCTGAAGGCTTGGGAACACTTCGACAAATCCGTGCTTCTTGGTGTGGCCCTCGGCCTCGCTTGGGCCGCGGTGCATTCCGGACCAGGCCTCATCCGAATAGACCTTGAATTCGGCCAAATCGCGGACGGCCTCTTCACGGAAGTTGGAAAGGTCTCTAAAAATGATTAATGTAGTAATATTGCTCTAAAGGGCGATGCAAGGCAAATCCAATTCATACCTATAGAGGAACCCAGCGAATGCGAGACATGTCAACAGCACTCCAGTCGAGGCCAAGCATGCCGCCCAGGTGAGCGCCTTCGCGTTCATCTTGTGATGGTCCAACAATCCACGGCAGCATCTTATATAATCTCATCTTGACAATGGGCCACTTTTTTGGGGGACTGTAGAGCCGAGCAAAGCGTTTGTAGTGGGCGCGACAGGGAAAGGGATGAGATTTCTCCTGCCCTGCAGCTCCCCGTTCACAAAGTGCTGCTAATTTTGGCTGAACAACGGAGGAACGAATTAGACATTTGGACCAGAGTGGAATAGTTTAAGATTTTTTGAAAGAGAAAAGGAAAAGCCCTTGAAAAGATGGAATTGGGATTTCTGCGCTGAATTTTGAAGTAATTTTGAAGTAAGTTAAGAATTTAGGGTAACTGTTGTGAAAATAAACTAGCAATAGCTCAAAACCTTATTTTATTTTGCCTTGATCATACCTTATCTTAATACTCCTAGTATCTTTTCCGACGCTTTATTCGATGGAAATTTCAAAACAACAGAGTAATAGTGGAAACAACAAAAGTTGTTCCCCCCCGGTAAGCAACCTTTACCGCCAATCTTAACTTATCGCTGACATCACAGTTCCAATGTATCGGGAACTAAACCAGATCCCATTTTTTGACCCTTCACCCAAACCAAGTATGAAGCCATTATTCGCGGCTTAAAATCGCATTTTGGAACAACGCGACACCCCAGCGACACTTTTCCCCCCAAAAGCTGACCATTTCGTGAGGGGCAGCCCATCCCCCCACTAACCCCGATCGATGGGATACATTAAGTTGATAACTTTTGTTTCCATTTCCGGGATTCTGCTGTCTCCTGCTGATGCTCAATACAATCCAACTCTTGGGCAAAAGGTTTGTAAAATTTCTTAAAGACTCAATTTATAAATTATTTTTTAGTATTTCGTAATTGGACTCGCGACAAATGGGGCCAAGCAAGCCTGCCTTAACAACAAGGGATATCCAAATTATATGTATCAAAATACGTTCGTTTCGTCCTAAAATTTGGCAAGTTATATTCCAGAATTGTCAATGACGCGCAGCTTTGGGGAAAAATTCGATTGTCGGTATGATTCTATGGGCATTAAGGATAATTGAGATAAAATCCAGTTGAGCGTGTCCGTCCCGGACCAGGAAATTGTCGTCTGGGTGACCGGGTCATCTTCAATCAGTTCAAACTGGGCGAACGCTGGCAATGCCCTGATTAAAGGACCGGCCTATCCTGTTGGTCAGCAGGTAAATCAATTAAATTAAAAATATTTTTATTGATGAGAGCTGTATTTAAGAAACTAGGTCGGTCGACATTTCGAATTTTTTTCAAAAAGATGTTTAGCGCTTGATTCCGTGGTCGTTGGGTGGCGGATACACGATGGGCGATAGTTTATTAGAAGGCTTCACGGCCGTCTGGTATTATGGCTATAGGCATGTTTAATGTCCGATCCCTACACTGATCTTAGGGATTACTTGAAGCAGGTCTGGGCCCAGTATTGTGATTTCAAGCTTGTGGTAAGTCGTAAAAGGGCTATTTGTATGATGGTCATTTTTCGATCGCTGGTCACTCGATTGGGGCTTGCGTGGCTCAAATGGTCGCCTACGTGACGATACGCAGGGGGTATTGGGAGAAGGATTTGGTTTCGTACTATGGATATGGCTGTCCGCGATGTGGCGATCAGGTAGGTGTTTTAAAATAATGCTATTTAGACTTTGAAGTTGGCTCAATCGATACATCTCACCGCCCCAACCCCGCTCTCACTCGCTCTCGCTCTCTCTCTCTCTCTCTCTCTCTCTCTCTCTCGCTCTCCACTCTCTCTATATCTCTTTCTAACGACTTTCAGGTTCACCTTTCACTGTAGCTTATTCAGGACTACGCAGCCCAGTTCGACGCAACCGTTCCGACTCGAGTTCGTGTCACCTACAACAACGACCCGGTCCCGGTAAGCACTTTTCAATTTCGATCAAACCAGTTTCTCAGAACATGGCCCCAAATTCGTGCGATCGGACAAAGATGCCTGTGCTTGGTGCAAATCCGTCGTGCTGGTTCCAAAATTCGGCAAGTTTTCAGAAGGAGATTTCAAGGCAATTTTTCAAAAAATTTTTTTTCTTTAGCCTGCCGTGCTTTATTCGGCGGCTACGACCGTCAGCAAACAATGCTCAATCGATGATGACCCGTCGTGTTGTCCTGGTGAGCGCGAATAAAATTTTAAAGGGACGGGAAAGTTCACTACTCAATACCTACCAACTACTATGTGTTGTTAAATAAGCACCGTTAAAGGTTTCCGAACTGTCAATGACTGTTCTTTTCACTTAATTAAAAAATGAATTTATATGAAATCTTTTTCAGCTGGTGGCAACGTCCTATCTCCCGGCTACGGGGACCACCTCAAATATTTCGGATACACATCCGCCCAGGATTACATCCAAATGAGCTGCTGATTACCTCAGATATCCAATATTTGCATAAAGATTGCCAACTGTTTTAATGAGCGTTTCTTACAGCCTAGTTGAAATAAAGTCTAGCCATTTCAGCAGTCTACAATATACTATTTCTTGGTCTATCCCGTTTAACCCATTCGAAAAATGTACCCCAAGTCATTAAACATGGTCTCTAGTGGAGGTTAGATAGCCGAAAAATAATTGCGTAAAATGGATTACCCTCTCGTTCTCGCCCACCCAATCCGGGTTTGGCTTCAAGACCTGCAAAGAATTTTTCACATCCTTTAAAAATCAATAATGGATTTTGTGGAGTGGTTCTGGGCTCAGACTGTATTAATACGATTGAGCTATGGATTATCAAGTAAGCTTGGCTTAGTCTGTGCTTACAAGGGAAGTGAAATCCATATAACCTTTAGTCCCATGTCTTCTACTCAACAGTTTTGGCCTCTACGTGACCGTAAAGAAATCCCCAAAAGAAATGGGCCGCTTTTCATATACAATATCTTATTGGGTGGTGAGTTAAATACTGATTTTTATTCTATACTATTTTGCATCTAAATTTCCAGTTTGTCAGCTTGTTATACGATTTCGTGATGAAATTGATGTGTGTATTGGCGTTTACCGTGAGGAATGGGCGGCTCACGATTGAATTCTATGGATTGCTGAGTTGTTGGGGGGTTAGCGAACCAGTGCAAATGGTAAGGTAGCAAACTATAATGTGTGAAATTAAGTTCTTTGTAGCTGTAGATTTCAACCTTAAACTACATACACAATTTTAGATAATTTTTAACGTAATTATCGGCCAACTCGGATTCACCTGCTCGAATATCTTTCTCGGAGCCTTGGCTAAAATTCTGCCGCAGCAGCATAAATATATAAAAATGCATAGGTACTGTACTTTTTTAGTTTATCAAATGCGTTACTTTATTTAATTTCTGTACTATAAATCTACTTGTTAAAAAGCCTAAATTTTAGGCTTGGCTGTATATACTCGGCAATGAATGCGTTACTGTACGTGGTTCTTACTGTATTATTCCATTGCAATCCGGTAGTGTATTTTGAAGGGACAAATATAGCTTAATCTTTAGTCCTATGTTATTTTTGATACTTTCCTGCACGAGTTGACGTATCGCGAAGATGTTCGGCTTGTTTATTTTTTGTTGATATGGTTATTTGCTGCAAATTGTTATGTGGTGGTAGTTGGAGCTTTATTGACCGAGCGCAGATATTTCAAGTTTGTACTTTGCGGGCTGTAGCATTGGATATTAAACCTATTTTTACTGTACCAGTGGAAAAAGACCGCTTCGCGGCCATTTTCCACTGGACCCGGTCCCGGAACCATGACTTTGAATACCTTCTTTTTCAGCCTGCGGCGCAAGAGCCTTAGTCAAGGAGCCATTCTTTGGCCTGCGGCGCCAGAGCCAGCGTTTTGCTAGAATCTTTGAGCCTGCGGCGCTAGTTACTGGTTTTTCTCCAGGATCTGGCCTGCGGCGCGAGAGCCTGGGCCAAGGACCCATCGTTGGCCTGCGGCGCTAGAGCGAAGGCCAGGCCTAAACCTCGCATATCGAGAGCCTAGAAACACGTTTTGTTGCCGAACTACCAAAACGCAAAAAAATTAAATTCTCCCAGGATCCGAACTCACGACCCTGCGCGTGGTAGACCGAGCGCTAATCCACTACACCATAGGCCACTTTACAAAATTCGATTTTTTGGTCTGAATCTGTGGAAAGTCTGTAAAAATAATAAAATGCGCATGATCCCCACCCATGATTGCGTAAGCGGTCCAAAACTCAGCCGGAAATTCGGCCTGACGGCCGAGAAATCCTCATTACAGAAAATAAACATACTTTTCTCGCTTATAGGATTGTATCTATTTATACTATATTTAGGAGCATCAGTGGTTTATTAAGTGATAGAACTCGTCAGCAACAACAATCCTATATGACTAAATCGATGATCCAGGTAACTTTGAAAATCAAAGCTAATTTTTTTTAGACCTGCGTGCCATTAGTCACGCTACTTCCAACAGTGCTCAATTTCATTCTATTAACGCAGCCCGAGTTCCCAAGCAGGGATGCAAGTAGGTGAACGGATAGGGTTTATGCATGTTATTTTTTAGTCACGATGGCGGCTATGCTTTGTATGAGTTTTTATGGGAATCTGACAGTTCTTACGACATTTGCTATCTACAAGCCTTATCGTGTTTACTTGCAAAGGGTTGTTTTTGGAAGAACGATGCGACGGGATACGATCATCTTTATGGAATCGAAGATAAATATTTGAGCCTCACTTTGGTGCATTAAAAACGTCAAATTTGCATTTTTTAACTATGAAATTGTGGTAGTTTTAGTACAATTCCCGTAAGCATTTATACAGAACGAAAAAGACACAAAAAGGAGGCAATTTGGCGGGCAAATATACACGTTGATATGGAGGCGCTGGTATACTGTAGCTCGGTAAGTGAAAATAGAAATTTTCTATGCGTAGTAAGCGGGAACAAGAACAATATAGGAGGACACAGGAGACAAAGAAACATTACAAAAACGTCTCAAGAGCGCCAGTTCTCATTTGCGGGGAGATGGAGCGGAAATTTCGGTGTTGACGTTCCATATTGCGGACGTAGTGACGACGGCGTAGGGTATCGGAAGGGCGTTCATCAAGGGAGTATTTGTGGGTATTGGTAAGGCGAGAATGGAGGGACGGGTGGTACGGGTATAAGTTGTTCATATCTCGCGGTTCGTCCGCACTTTCCGGTTTGTAGAGGTTTACCATAGAATAGCGAAGGTTTCCCATTTGAACACGAGGTGGTGGCTGACTGTAAGAAGGTTGAAAATTTCAATTTAATAGTTTCAAAGCGTTAAAATTATAACTGTAAGTGTAATTATAGTTTGTAATTTTTCAAATGGATATTTTGAGGTGAAGTAAAGTAAACAAATAAACCCTACCCGGTTGGCCAACGTTTCGATACCGTATCTTCATCAATTTCCAAATGTGGCTCCGAGCAATATACCCTGGAAAGTGCGATGATTCTTTTATGCTAATTTAACTTACGAATATGAAGTCCCCAGCCCGTCACTTTCGATTTTCTTCCCAACGATTTTCTCCGGCGTATCCATTGGGTAGTCGATGGGAGGTGAGATGGGTCTTTCATGACTTGGCTAAAATGTATTTTAAAATCTATTTATGCGCTCTATCTACCGTATAATCAATTGGCGGCTCTGTTAACAGATCGCGGCTGAGATTCAAGGGATGAAGAAGGCCGGGTGGCCGGATTCTGGCGAAAAGCCGGGGCTGCGAAGGGTTGTGGAGATCTGCGTATGGTGGGCAGCTGAAAATAAAAATGGCGTTTTCGAATGAATAAGGTTGTTCTCGCACCTATCGACACCGCTGGTGCCCTCGCTACTAGAGTGTTCATCACGGGTTGATGATTTGTTGCTGTATGGGCATCCAGAATCGGAGGATGGGGATTCTTGGCCGGATTTTGTGCCGGTCTAAATGGTTGTTGAAGGGTAGATTATTATAACGGTTTATCGATATCATGACGAAGGTCCAGAAATTTTTTTTATCAAATCAAATTCTAAACCTAGCTAGAACGAGATTATAGCCTGATTTAATAAACTATCAGAGAATAATCTAGAAATTCTACTTTGGCATTTTAGATGTGTAGCAGCTTTACCTCCAGCACAAAATCCTTTGGTGGCTTGCATGCCCCAAACATTTTGTCGGTAAAAGCGACGGCAAGTAGAGACCAGGCCGAGGCCGCATGCGGATATGCCCTCACGCATTCTTGCACGAACATCACCTAGAAATAGATTTTGCGTCCAATTCTTTAAATATACTGACCTCTGCCATGCTCTCTCCCAACACCTGCCACATATGCCTTCTGAAGCCTAGTGGGTAGAGACGGATGTGGTAGGCACCTTAAATGAAACTATATGTTTTTTGAAACGCTTCCGCTTCCGCTTTAAGTAACAAGTCGATACCTATATCTTCTGGCGAGGGCATGGTTTTATCAGATTTTCCCTCGAACATTAGTTGCAACATGGTATCGATATATTCGACGAGAATATGAGCGTGGTCTCTTGAGGTTGAGATAGTATTTCCGATTATTTTTCCTTAATTAATTGATTGCGAATTTTTTTTTATTAAATACCATGCTTCCGATCGTGGCAGCACGAGATAAAGGCTGATTTGTAGAAAAGGGATGGTACTTGTGGTTCGAGTTCGACCATTTTGTCGAACATCTAAAAAGAGATTTGCTTAAGCTAGGCTCAGGCTTATCCTGGGAGGTATTTTACAAAAAAAGTAATTTTCACTCCATACCTTTTCCATAATTTGAATCGTCCCTCTCCCTGATGTCTTCGGAGCCTCAGATAACCGCTTCCACGTAACTTTCAAAGCCCGTTTCTGCAAAATAAATAATTCCTACTAACTTTCTATAGCTTCACACCTGAAGAACAGTCAACTTTGTCTGTAGCTCATCAACAAATGCTTGTAGTGGATGTTGTTTTGGGACCGGAGATGGCCGCTTGGCCGCCGTTTGTTTTTCATCCGGCGCTACGGGCGGTGGAGACTCCACAGTAGTCGGTTCTAAAACCAAATCATAATTCTGGTTATGAAGACACCAAAAGCGCCCAGGAGAAGAAGCCGAAAAATAAGCGTTGCCGTCAATAGGTTTAGAGGTGTATTAAAGGGGGAAGGTATTATTTGTGCACTTGTGAAAACTTGCCCAATCTTATGCCCTTCTTTCGCCGTCGCTTTCGTGGGTCTAAACGGTTTGGTGGTGGTGGGGGACATGCGGGAATTAAAAATCGATTTTAAAATTATACTAGCATACGTGCATGACGCAAAAATTAATGAAAGCCCACAGCAAATGGGGGGCTTTTCTAAAACGCCACAATTCTACAGTAAGCACCTTTGTCGTCGTGGTGTGGAATTCCGGCTGTGGAGGGGCAGACAGGAAGGGGTTGGATGTCTGGTGGGGATAAGCGGGGCAGACGCGGGCCGGTGGCTGGCTGATGAAGCTGCTTGAGCTGCATCGACTGGGCGACGCGGAGCAGGTTGAGCAGCTCGGCGGGGTGTTGCTCCTCTTGGCGCATCAGTGCTGTAATAGCCACCCTCCACACGCGTTAGGCAATCAGCGTTTTAGTAAGCATTTTTAAAAGTTTTTTCGGATTTTTAGAGAGGTCGGAAGAGAAGCTATGGATTCCGTTTTACCGCTACACGCGACGCGCACGCAGTGTGACTATCTAGAGTTGAGTAGTGCACCAAAACATCGCGCAGTAATTTTAATACAGTGTATGTATCTAAGTACACGTCGCGGGTCGCTACAAAGCATCCTTATAGGGAATCCGAACCTTAAAAAACTACTTCTACACCCCTTTAAAACCACAAATTCTCCCATATTTTTTATTTTTTGAAGATTTCCCCAAGCTTAACAAAACAACCTGGTAACATAAATATTCGATCAATTTAAGCAAACAAAGTAATATTTCAAATTTGCCTGTGCTCACCCCTTTCAAACCAAGCGTTAAAGCGTTATAACAATTGCGAAAATTCCACACTCATTCCAGCAAATTCCACGTTATTTTTCGTTCACTCACCGGCTATCTCGTCCTCGTACTCCTTCCATTCTTCGTTTAATTGTTGGATGATCTTCTTGCGCAAGATAGCTTCCTTTATTCGCATCATTTTTATCTGAAATGTTGTATATAATACTCAAACCTAAATTGCATGATTTTCGGTATAAAAAGAGTTCAGTAAAGAGTATCGTATCGGAAATCCACTACAGAGCAGCCTACCAAACCCAACATCAACAATTCGATTACCCCGAATTTGCGGGCAGCGCGAGCGAGAGTGAATTAATTTCGGGCGCAAGACCACAATCTGGGTGTCGCAGCTCAAAAAGTGAACAGTTTGTAATGGCAATTTAAGACAACAGAAGGGAAGCCCGGATTAACAGCAGGGTTCCATCAAAAAGTGAACCGGAAGTGAAGCCCGGTCCACACGAAAAGAGGGGATTTTCTGGGAAAGTCGTCGATAAAGCCCTTGTATGTTGTAGACGGGGTATAAACATAAGGCGGTCAAGATTTGCTGAGTTTTGGTTGTAAAAAGATCCCAAATATCGGCATTTATAGGGATAGGGGTTGCGACTCAATAATCTTGGATTTGGGAGTTAAGCCAATATAAAAAGGTGTTTTTTTTGTCATTTGTCTTTTAGCTGAAAAATTTCAAAACTAGAATAGATATATAATAAATCAAGAGAGAAAAGTATTAAAAATAGTTAAAAAGGAAAAAAGCACACGCAAAATAACATTTTACAATTATAGAAAGTTCAAAAGCTTCCTTTTCCATTAAAAAGTTGTCATCAAAAGTGCTCGAAATTTTTAATGTCGGGCCTTTCACTAGGCAAATTTTAAAGGCAAGGCTCCGTGGTTTGTAGCTTTCTATCAAATTTAAAAGATCAGCCTTTTTTAAAATTAAAATCCATTTGCACTTCCAGCGCTTTCGATGAAAACAGAGTTTTTTAGCGGGTCGGGGGCAGAGTCAGGAGCTGGCACCCCAGGCTGACAACTATGAAATATTCTGGCGAATCACGGAATAATATCTTTGAGTTGACGTTTTCATGGCCGGAAAGGTTGGTCTACCGGTTGCAAAAAATGCAGAAAACAAAAATTAGCCTGAACACAGTAAAAACAAAATTTTTGTGCTTTTTCAAGGTTACCGTATTGGCTAAACTAGAATATCTAGAATATCTTTAAGAATTTTTTGATAGCAAACGCGGATGTGAATGAGGAATTGGGCCGGTCGGGGGTCCCCCCGGGTGCCAACCAACAAATTGACGAGAATTTGGGCAGTATATCCGGGCAACCGGGCCGAACACCCTTGGGTCCCGGCCCGTGGATGCTCTTTCCTATCGCCTTTCCCAGGCTGGACCAAAAAATTCGGGCTTTTGCGCACACCACATTGTAATCTACCCCCCATGCTTTGGCTAGTTATTTCGTAAAGGTCATTAGTCTTTTCTAGTTTTTAAGTCGTAAAAGTGCGAGTTCGGATTACGAGATTTTTGAGATAGATTAGCAAAATGCTCCTCGTTGCAAACAAAGTGTTAAAGGGACATGAATTGTGATTTTGTGAATTGTGAATCAAAATTGTGATTATTGCTTTATATAGATTTGGCAATATACCATTAAGCAGTTAAATTCGGAAAATTCGAGGAATCTGCAGCCAAAAAATCAATACTGACTGAAAAAACTGACCTTCGCCATCCCTTTAAAATCTTGAAATCGATTTCCCAAGGTTTCAATTCGTTTTTTTTTCCTTACACTAGTCTAGGTACAACTATAGGTTTCTAGTATGGCTTCCCATTTTCTTTAAAACTCTTCATGATGCTATATAATCCGTGCAAAACGGAAAAGAGCCATCCCGACGTTCGATAGAAATAGGTGTTCGTCGTGTTTCCTAACCCAACTAGGATATCCCTCCTTGGAAGCTGACGAATAGGAGGGGGATGCTCAATTATGCAATGGGATCTGCATTTAGGGGTGTTAATTGGACGACGGGGGGTTAGCGGGAAGTTGGCATTTTGGGGGTAGTCGCATTTTAGGGTAGACCTGGGCGGCGGAGTGTAATGGAACGCTCATTAATGCGTTGATTAGATGGGTAAAAGGGGAAGAAGGATGATGCCAATGTTGCAGGATAAAAAATGTGAAAAGAAAAAGTTGCGTAACTGGTTTGAGAGCAAAATCAATTTTTTAAGAGTTCAGTGAAGGTAAACGACTTCAATAAATCGAAATCAGGTTTCAAACCGTTAATGGAGCTCTAAGTATCAACACAAAATTTCTAAAAAACTAAAACGCCGTTTCCCCGGCGCCAGCGAGCTTACCCAAAATCAACCCTCCCATCGAAAGGGTAACCCCCGAATGTGCGTGATTTTAGGTTTGCCCGTGAGCCCCATTGCCTGCCGCCGCTTCTACCACCCCACTCCTATGCATTCCATATGGCCCTCAACACACTACAGACAATCTGAAATGCCCCCCGCCCCCCGCGAGCACAGAGATTCCAGGTTGACGAAGGGGGAAGGGAGCGGAGTTGCGTAAAAAACGCGCGCACATCTGGGTCTGGGGGCTTCACCTTGAGTCATTCGGAGGGAATTTGAAGAAAACCAATTCGAGGCAATAAAAACAGGCCGAATTGGAACCCGCTGTGTGCTGGGCGTTCCTTTAGAATCCGAACTTTTTTTTGAGGTTCAAGCAGCTTCGAAAGTATAAGAAAATCGTAAAAAAATTTGAAGGCTGGAAATAGAAATTTGCCAAAGTTTGGACGTTCCGTTAAAATCGGGGAATTTTTAAGCATAAGATAACTGATTCAATAGTTACAAAGGCAAACACCAAAAAAACATCAGAAATTTTTTCTGTGGCTAAATATTCTTCCAAATTTGGTGGCCTTTGACCGTTGTGTAGTACGAGCATAAATCCGGGGCCCCTGGGGCCGTAATTCTGCGATTTCCGCCTGGGGTCCGCACTTGCTCTACGAAATTCAGGTGGTTGGGCTATTTTCTGGGAAGTGGGCCAAGGATCGTGGTGATTCAGAAAATAAATTAAAGCTAAAATAACAATGCGTAAGCCGATGAAGCATGATCTACAGAACTTCATGCCTTCAAAGGACCTTGAGAGGAGCTACTAATGTCGTAAACGAGTCAATCTATGCAACTGCACCTCCAAATCTATAGGTAACCTTTAAATTCAAAATGACTTCAATGAACCTTTAAAGAAACTAGTAACATGCCGTAAACGAATAAACCTAACGTTTGATTTTAAGGTTCTTGCCTTGGAACCGCGATAATTCAACAATCTCAGTGAGCAGACGAAATTCCAAGTATCCGCTCCCTTACAAATCCCACCCCTTTCCCCAGATGCACAAACTCGGGGCCAGTCACGAAATTAATCAACTTTTCATAGTCCGTTCAAGGAAGAGAACGAAATGTGCCTATGGCTTAGATAGAACACGCTGTGTGGAGCTACGGCAAAACAGATTCTCCTCCTTGCCCCTGAGCACCCGCCCGGATCCCCGGGATTATGGGCACGCTCTCCCGGAAAATAGCGTCAAACTGCCCGAGCTTACAAGAAAAAATATGATTGTAAATATATAGGAAATTATGTTAAATAGTGTACTTTGAAGGACGTTTAACTACCGGGTGAAAGCGGAAGTGACAATGTAAAATCTACGACTTCCAACGGACTCTAGTATGGCAAAGCTTTTTTGGTAGGCCGCTAAAAGCAAAGGTTTACTTGGCTCGATGGGGCCACGTTTTAGGGAGTAACAAAGGATGGGCGGAAGATGATGTGCATCCAAGCGAGCTCCGTTCGTGGGAACACCTGGTGGACCACCGGGAAAAATGAAGGGGGAGCCCCGAGTTTTGGCCGATTATCCCCCACACCTTAGAGGGCACAAGCTCAGAGCTCAGCATCAATGTCTGAGTGAACAGGGGATGACGAAGAAGGTATAAAAAAAATGTTCCTTGTGTATTTTTGCTTAAGCTATAATCCAAAATTACATAAAAAATACTTTAATCTCATTATAAAATCCGACGGACAATGAGAGACACCACAAAATCTTATTAAATAAATTGTAATTCGCATTTTTTCAATGTTTTATGGAGTTAGAAAATTTATGGCTGTTGTAATAACAATACTCCTAACAGTTACAATTTCTATTACATCCATAACTCTTCAATTTGAGCGGCAAAAAAATCTTAGTTTCTCGCCTTGTTGATCGTGAGAAAACGGAAATCCTATCGTGAGAAGTTCAAAAAATAGACAACTCTCCCTGATTTCCCCCCACCCAGAAGTAACCTCCATAAACAACAGATTGACTATAGTAAAGTCACGGACTCTAAGGGCAACGCCACCATCATGGCCTGCTAAAATCGGGCCAGCACTAGCGTGAAATTGAAGCCCGGTTTTTGCCGAGTTTCGGCACCATTTCCGGCTCTTAGCGCACCTGGGGAATAGAGCAGCCAGCTGATTCATAGGGTATACGGCTTCGGTTTCATCAGGCAAGGGGTGTTGGTTTGGAAAAATGAGAATAATCTTGAAAACATTGAGTAAAATTTTAAATATTTTCGGAGGGGGTAAAATAAGAGGGAAAACGCAACAAAAGTGCCGATATTTTTTGGTTATGGATTCTGCTGGGATCTTGAAGGAATCGCGTTACGCATCGCGAGTGATTCCACCTCACAGTTTAGCGCCTACGCGTTGCGTAGCGCCTCAAAAAAGCCCCTCACGCGTTGCAGCACGTCGAGGATCGTTGAAAATCTGTAGAGAATCCATGAAAATCGGGAGCACTAGTCTAAAGAGACATGTTTAACTTATGTAAAGTGGTGCGTAATCGATAGAAAATTATTTACCTTCCAACCCCCTTTAATTCCAAATTAAAACCCAACCTCACCGAGACTAATTGGACGCGCACATCCCCCCCCCGTTGATCTTTATGTGGCCTAGGATAAAGAAGCTCGAAAAGAGCGCTCCCCCCCCTGCTCTCGCCAGGTGAAGCTGTCGCCTTCATTTCCGCCCCAAGGCCACTTTTTGAGTAGGCCAAAAAACGGTTGAACGGGGGGATGGAGGAGGACGGACGGGGGGTCTAGGAAGTCTGCGAGTTCGATCCCCCACCCGTCTTGAGGGGTTCGGTGAGACTCCCGACACTGTCAATTAGTTGCCTCGTCATTGGTTGCCATTCGTGGACGGGCTGTCAGTTTAGACACTTTGCTTTCATATTTACTTTTGAGGGTTCCGGTATATTGTGGTTTTATACATTGGGTAGGCTTAGGCTTGGGAGCATTGGACTGTTAGCGGGGGGGGCTAATATTTTCGGTAATCCGGTACGGTCCTACTTGCGCTTATGTCAATCGTAGAGCTGTTATTTCTACAAATCTCCGACTTTCAACTTATCCCCTTCATTTTAAATCCACATTTCAGACTGGGTAAATGCGGCTCAACCTACTGTTCTTTTTGACAATAGTCAGCATCACATCATCAGAAAACACCGACGATAAGGTAGCCCACATAATTTCTACAAAATCACCTCTTTTTTTAGCCGGCCGATCACCGAAAATGGCGACTAATCCCGTTTGCGCGTGGAATACGGTACCCCATTCATCCTATCTAATGTTTTAAGGGATTCAAGGACGGCCAAAGCTAAAGTACAAACTACAGAAATGGAACCAACCGAATTTTTTCCGAGTTCGGAACAACGCTGGGTGCAGCCCCGGGCGGTATATCATGCAATTTTTAAACCGTAAAAATTTTAGGTAGAAGTTCATGATCTGGAAAAGACGGCTGTGAAACCGGTGTGCCAATATTTGCATATGAAATTCACGATTTTAGGCTGAAAGGTTTCGACCGGTGAGGCCAGAGCGCAGAAGGAGGAAGAAAAATAGCAGAAAGGAGAGGAGAATCGAATCCACACCCGAGGAGGTGACATTTTGACGAGTAAAGTCAGACCAAAAATTCAGGAGAAAATTTCCTGGCCTCCGGTGACGACTCCAAAAAGCCGGATACAATCGAAGAGGAAGCATTTTGTCATTGTTGCACCATCGGTGGGTAGGAAAAACTAAAATATATACCTTTTTTTAAATAATTTACATTCTAAATGCGCTTCAACGTTAAGAAAGTACAGTAATCCTTAATTTTCCCCATTTTTTAGGCTCCAGACCCGACCCCGGAACCAATTCTACCCCTCATCAACACGACAACAATACCAAAAGGTCCACCCCTCACCCAGCATTCCCCCACTTTCCTATCAACAGTCCTTCCTCGCATGGAACGCTTGGCTTTTGGCGCACCGACCCGGGCCGTTGATGAACCGGCCGAGGTGGCCGAGCTGGACGCCCTGCTACGAGACCTTCCTGATGCCCAAGAAGGGGCAGGTTGTTTATGCTGAAATCGGTTGCTTGCAACGCTTTGCTTCGCTTTACGCACCGCATAGATGGCTTTGAAATGAAATGATGGAATTTTGAGTTTAAGGCCAAGAGAAGCGAGAGGTTGGTGGGGATGAAGCGTTTCGGGTGAATACAGAGGATGGTGGATCGACGGCGCTGGAGATTTCGCCTGAGCAGCTGCCGGAAGAGTATAGGAAGATGTTGCGGAAAGGATATGTATCGTATCCTACTTTTAATGCTGGGGTGAGTTTTAATTAGGTTTTGTTTTAAAGGGTTAAGAAGTCAAAATTTGCATATGCATGTGTCGAACAACTTAATGGTAAAACAATAAAGTCGTACCACTTAAAATTACAAAAAAATTCGAGGAAAATTCGAGGCGAAAAAGTATAATATTTTTTTAAATATAAAAATCTAGGTTTTTGGTAATATTTCCTTTACATGTCGTGATGCCGACTGTATTAGACTACTTTTTAGCCCCATTAAAATGACCAATTTCAGAACTACTCCAGAAAACCTCAAGCCCTTTTTGAGGCTAGTATTCTGCCACCACCACAGGTTTGTACAAACAATTTATTTACGAAATCCATTTTTACAGTTGCAATTCCAACAACCTCAAAATCAACCCCAGCAGCAACCCATGTTCATGCCTCAGATCCAGCAGCCACAATTCGGCGGATTTGGCCAACCCCAATTGGCAATCGGCCAGCCCCAACTACCATCAAACTTCCAGCTCCCAGATCCGAGGCTCATCTCACAAAATGGTACAATAGATTCGAGATTTAAGTAATCGCGTTTTTTAGGTTTCACAATTCCTCAAAACACACCTCAAAACCAGAATCAAGCCCTGTTGCTGAGGGCCCGCCAAATGTTGGCGCTGCGGGATCTGGAACTGCAACGAGCTAGACAGGTAAGTTAAATGATGATTAAATTAAACGCCGTTTTCAAGATGTTGTTGCTCCAACAAACCCGACAAGCGCAGGCTCAGGCTCAATTTATGAGTGGACAACAACGGGTTGGGCGGGAGATAGCTTCGGAGCCAGCTCCAGGGCAAATTAGCCCATTGCTTATGGCTGAGGTTCGTAAATGAGAAATTATTTATATAAATGTTGGAACTTCGGGTTTGGTTAAGAGATCACTGTTACTATTCTTTATTCAATTCCTTTAGATATATCGTCGTCAAATATTTGTTGCTCAACTAATGGCTCAAGCTCAACAGCGAGCGGCCCTCGTGAGTTTTAATTTGAATAAGTTTAGAAAAATCTATAATATTTTGTGATCTTAAAAGGTCGGTTAGACAATTCGTAACGAAATCAGCATTTCCAGGCCCAACAGCAACTCCCAGATGGTTGGAGTTCGGTTGGAAATCAAGGATTCACCGTACCGCAAAATAATCCGTTCCTACAATCGCAAGGTAAGCTAAAATCCTTTAAATGGATTTATTATTTGTTTTTTAAGATTTTTCTGGCGGTTGGCCAGAGCAACAACCTCAAATCCCAACCGGACCAACCGCCAGCATCACTCGAAACGGCCAACAATTTCACATCCCAGTCGTCTTCAAGCGCGGAGCCCCGCTTCAATAAGCACTAATTTATTATAGAGTTTAATTAATAACTATATTGTACATAAAAGCAAAATATTTATTCCTTGATCTGTTCAACCTGTCGAATTTAAATCTCCTGATATCCGTCCTGCCACTCGTAGGGGCAATAGTCGGGGTCCATCACGGGCTGCATGCGGAAGCCACGGTGGATTAGGCGACATCTGAATGGATACGGTAATTGGGATGTGGTTAAAATGTTTTGAATTTTCTTTGAAAGTCATACTTGAATTCGTGAAGGCGAGGCCATGCGTTATCTGCCGATTGGGTTTGGGATGGGTCGGACCAGAGGCGTTCGGCAACTGCGGAAGCGCGAGGCCTGAATTTGTAGTTTGTATAAGTATTTTATAAGTTGTAGTTTGTAGCTAGCTGTAAGTTGTAGCCAGTTTAGTTTCGGGTTTAAACTTACCAAAGTCGGTTAATAAGATTGGTTCCATCAACAAATTCACCCCAGATCGCAGCCTCACCTCCGAGTACAAGGTTCTAAAATTATAAATCGATAAATAAATCAGTAAAATCTTTGTTAATTACCATTAACCGCAATTAATTATATTTATTGGATACCTTTTGTTCTTTTGTCCCGTGGAATCCCTGCGGATCACATTGATAGTACATCCCACGTGCCCTCATCGCATCCTCATTTACATACCCCCAGTCGGCACCGTATTTAATGTAGTTCATATACCTTAAATATTCATACTTTCCAGGGTTGCCGGTTCAAAACCAACCAGCAGCTCGACAAAATGGCGAAATGGCCGTTTGCAGTAACTTTTCCCATCTCCTCATAGGCCTCCTGGATTGTCGCTCCTTTCCAGACGTGTGCGATACTTTGTTGTTGCTAAATTTTTCACTACTTACCGAACTAGAACTTTTCTATCTCACCGGTACATTTTGATCTAAGACCTCTTGCCAAACAAGTTTCTTCGTTCCGGCACGGGCCTTGTCGATGATGTCGAAAAGTCTGCAGAGCCATAGGATACTATCTTTTGCAGCAACCTACCTGGCCCAATAATAATTCAAAAGTTTTCCGGTGTCAGAACCAAAACCTAGCTGTTGCATCCGGCTGCGAACTTCCGGGTTGTTGTACCTTTACTCAAATACGTCTGAGATTCTAGTAACCAACCAGCATTCATTCATATCATCAATCACCTCATCTCCTCCAAAATGCATATATTCATCTGGGAATAGTGCCAACGCTTCCTAAAATTGATAAAACTTTCTTACTAACCTTCTTACTTGCTTCAACGAAGCTGGAACAGTTAGAACAATACCTAACTACCAAATTCTCACCGCAAAGAAGCCGCTCAAAAAGTCGAAGGTCGAATTGACGGTTGGGTCGAGGATGTTTGGCAACATCCCTGCTTTTCCATTCGACTGATAGCATTTTGGTGTTAGATTCGGAATACCATATCCCCATGCACCAGTGTGGCCTGAAAAATCAGATTTATACGGGCTAGTGGACAAACCAGGGGTGTCGAATTCCGCTACAACTCGAATTCCACGCAGCCTCGCGTAATCGATCACCTTTTTGACGTCAGCGACGGAATATTGGTGCTTTGGGCTGTATGCTCCCTAAATTAACAATTCCTAGGCTTTGGATTTTGACCCATTTTGCCAAATTTTATATATTCAGTTTTCCGTAATAAATAAATGCAGTTTTCCTTAATCTAGAGAATTTTTAGTATGGCATTGACCTTGCTAGTCAAATCAGGATACTTGAGCGATGGGTAGGGGAAAGCCTCAGAGTCGACGAGATGCCAATGGAACACGTTCATCTTGTTCTGGGCCATCACATCCTAGGAGCATAGCGTCATTTGGAGCGTAACGCCCAGACTTACAAGGTTCTGGAGAAGGGTGCTGATGGGTAGGAAATGGCGGCTGGAGTCAATCATTACACCACGCCAGGGGAAACGTGGACCATCGGTGATGTTTGCCGTTCGCACCATGTACTGTAAGGAGCCAGAGTATACGTAATGGTAACGCCGTAGTCTCGTCATTTCTAAAATAACGAACCACATTGTCTTTTGGTAGGTAGACAAGATGACTGAAAGTCTCCATGGCGCGGAGGGCGCCCCAGACTTCTTTGGCTTGAATTATTCCGATTCCATTAGGTGTCGTAATCGAAACGGTATCTGAAAATAAAGAAAAATACTTCATGGCCTCTTTAAAATCCGGCTTAAAATGTAAACTTGTACTTCTATTTACACGCCAGTTCTTTGTTTAAGGAATTTTTAAGGACCATAACCTACACGTCTCATCCATTGAAAGTGATGGAACACCCGTTGGACATCCCGACGTAACATCAATTTGAACCGAAGTCAAAGTGCCCGCATCCCCAGCGTAGGTTGACTAGAGACAAAAATATTATCTGAACAAAAATAAAAACGTTACAGCATTATAACCGGGGAAAGACAACTTCTGATACCGGGCAATTGCCTTGTCGATGATGTCACAACCCGCTTGTTTGGCCTACAACTAAAGTTTACAAAATAGGAAGTTAAACCTGGAATCGGAATCGCGATGGATTTACAGAATGGTTGCCGGTAAAATAGTTGATTGTCCAAGGCAGGGGCCAGACACCACCGCTGGAAACAAATTTTCTTTTGAATAAATTACCCACGTCGTCCACGCATTTGGTTCCGGCCTCCCATAATACCAAGCTTGCGCTAATGCTGGGATCAGCATAGCCAATACGAGGACCCTCATCCTCGATTCTTGATATTACGCACCAAAAATTGACTCCCAGAATGTCTCTACTATCCGTTCCGTCGTGGTGATAAGGATCGCCAAGTCGCATTAGCCAGGTATAAGCTGCTTTGCCCTGATCTGCGGGAATTTTGATTTTGGAACGAGAGTCAGAGGTTTGTCCAGGGATCTCAAAATAGGCTCCGTCGTCGTAAGGTGGAGGGTCTGTCGTGGAATTTGGCAAGAAACGGAAATTTTAAAGGGACAACGACACTTGACAAATCTAATTCTGTTTTTTTTTTTGGTAATTTGTATTTTAGGCATTGTATGAGATTGAGCTCAAATGGGCAGTGAATAAACCTTTTCATATTGATATTTTGGGCGTTTATTCCTAAAATTCCAATTGGGACGCTGAGCCGCATTCCCAAGGTCGTAAAACCCGAGGCAAGGTTTAAGATGATGAGAATCTTGGCGACCTACTCAACGAGCTGAAAAATCCATTGAGCTCCGAGTCTCGATGTTTTGAATTTATCTTTTATTTCCTCAGATTAAATATCCCAAGACCAATCATCAGAAATTTCTATCGTACTTACCTCCTAAAAAATCCCCAAAAATATGCTCTTACCTCGCTCCTTGCTCGAATTCCATTGTCGATAGGAGAATAAAGGCACAAAATCAAGATCCACCCTCCCGATTGTTGAATGTAAGTGGTAGCTTTCAGCCAGTTTGCAGGCTCTGGCTCAAGTGTCCCAGCTCCCCCGGCTGCTAAAGCTTGTCAGGCACTAGAAGCCAAGTATTTCCCGCTACTTCAATCGAACTTTCTGTTCTTTGGTCTTGGTGGGATCTTGAAGCAGCCCATTTACCCGCATTCGCTGTCTATTTTACATATTATGTTGATGCAATTTTCGGCCATCTCACTGAAAACTATATCGCCCAGACTCAAATGTTTTTGATATTATGAAAAACATTTGTATGCCTCTTATAAAAATTGGTTCAGTTTATGGTTATTTTACGAAATTGAAAGGCGAATATTTTTTAAGCGCTGAACAAATTCGCCAGAAAAACATCGAGACACAAGGTTCCGGCACACGCCACTTTTTTTAAGGCTTTTTTTTGTTGGCTCCTAGGGAAGAGAACGAACTCCAGGCTGGCGAGCTAATTGCTGGCTGGCGCCTCCCGGCGAGAACCATTTTGCAGGCACGGATGCGGGGAGACTTGGCAGTTATATGCTCCGAGAGTCAGTCAATAGATGGGGGAGGAGAAAGACCGGCCCTGGGTGCTTCCGAGTATTATTGTGTGCTCTCAGTTCCCTAAAGCTATTGTTGCTTTCTGCTTTTCGGGGAGGGGAGAAAAACCCGAAAAAATGGCGACAACTTTCGCTAGGGCAGGGTGGCGGTGACACTTTCATCGAGAGGGTTAAAGGAACGGGTAAGGCATTGTGATGGATTTTTGGAGCGTCAGTTTGTATATATTTTACTTGATTTTTATCACGTTTGCGGCGACCAGTTCCGCTTGATTCTGCACTTCCACGATTTTACTTGAACCGCCTTCAGCAGTTCCAACAAATTTCGACATTTCCGCTATTTTGTCGGGATTTTTAATCTGTCATCCGATAGAGCGTCAAAAGATATACTATGGGTTTAATTACCGCTCAAAATAATGTAATATAGAAAAGTTATTGTAAAAAAGATTTGTAAAGTTCCAGCTGGGGGGAGGAGGTAAAGTAAGGCAAAGGGAGCATTAAATCCGCAGCCGTACTATTTACTACTCAACAAATATATTACGTAAAATTAAGGCCACCAAAATTTCAGCTCTCTGTTTCACCTCCCACCCAACCCAAAAAACGTGGTAAACCCCCCGGGTCGCGAGTTGTAGATGGTCGGTGTAGACAAAAGCCCCGCCGGGCGCCCGCAGGGGATGTCCCAGTTTTTGTGCCGAGTGAAGTGTCGAGACCGGCGCGAACATACAAACATACCCACACACCCACAATACATACATCCATACCTGTGCGCCACCACTTCCAAATATTCCACGCATTTTTTGGGGCCAAAAACCGGGAGGTTCCCCCTGGGATCGGCCCATCGAACGCGCTCCTTCAACCGCCCTAGAGGAATTTCCCACGTCCCGAAGCACCTCTCAATGTCTAGTTGTCTAGTTTACGTTTCAACGCAACATTTTTGGTCGCTAGTATTTTGGGGGATTCCTGTTATATATCCTTGTTATGTATTCGAATCTTGGTAACTCGATCGCTCCTTTGAAAACGGAAGCACACGTTCAGAATGGTAATTATGCATTGATGGTAAATCTTGGTGGCATCTCTCGCGCTCTCTTACTCACTCTCTCTCACTCTCTCTCCATTACTCGCATCAATTTTGCCTATAATTATGGTTCGTTTTCTATTGTTTTAATCATTACGGTTCGCTCTCTCTCTCTCTCTTTCTCTCTCTATCTCTCGCTCTCTCTCTCTTTTTCTCGATCTGTCGCATTCTTTTTGACTCTGGGTACACTCGTTTTCTCTTGTTCTTGTTTCTCTTTTCTCTGGTCTCTCTCTCTCTCTTCTCTCTCTCTCTCTCTCTCTCCCTCCCTCTCTCTCTCTATCTCTCTCTTTCGCTCTCTTGATCCCTATCTATCTATCACCGATAATTATAACCGCATTCTCACATTACGCAAATCAAACAAACGTCCATCTTTCGCGGGGTCTTATTGTATGCAACGATCTCGAGCCGGATGAATGACCCATAGATTCCGAGGCACAATCCCGGCCAGACACTTTTACAATGGTTTCTGCTCGAATGGTGCCCATTGATCCTATGCCCCGCATCGCGACCTTGGCACGAGCAAAATGCAAATCTCCGCTAGTCCCTTATTCTCCCGGGACACGAGCCGTTCCTTGGGAAACCTCTGACAAAACTATGAGGGAATAGGGTTCGGTTTTGTAGCGAACTTTTGCGGCTGTTCCTTTAAAATAGTTTGAATTAACTACACAAAATTGCGGCTCACTTGACTTCTCTACTCCTTTAAAACTGGTGTCCAAATTCAAGCCAGTTTGTAATAATAGTGAATTATTGCCGAGAATTTAATATAGCTCTTAAGTATCACAAATCTATATCTCTCTTCACTTACTTCGCCCTCAAGATCATCTTCCGTAACTTTTCCAAACGACGTTTAAGTTTCAGATTTAAAGATGTTCTTCTTCTAATACGATCCTTACCAATTACTCCACTTTATTTACTAAATCTTGAAAGCTCTAGACCTCAATTTATTAGTCCTTTCAGATCCAGAAATGTACCCATTCCACTACAATCCCTACCACTACCCAGCGTCCTACACGTCAAGGTTACTCCAAATTATTTTCCAATATTTAATACCCCTTCAGAGGCCCGTTCTTTATCCCACGCCCTGTAATAGATGATTTTGCCGAGTTCCGGCCAAATGAAAAGTTTTTCCAAGTAAGCCTCAAAAATATGCGGAACTTTTCGCAGGGTGATGGCAACTACGAGCGGACCGAAAAAGCCCTCTACATTTTACGTTTTTTGGCCTTTGCCCAGGTTTTTAAATCCGGTTTTCTGCAAACAATATATTTGCAGATTTTTACTGGCGGAGTGCTACTCGTAACTGACGTTTCAAAGATAGTACTACTATGGAATTTTCTAACAATGAGTGATGTGAAGTTGCAATATGTAAGCTTTTAGCCATTTTATGAGGATTAAAGAAATTTTAGGTAGCCCAGCTGCTCTACCCTGTATTTGTGATAGTGCTGGGTTTCGTATGTCTAACAGCCGTCGTCTCGCCCTCTTCCACACTGACAAAATTCGTTTTGGTGTTGGTGGTGACGACCGTAATACCGACCGTGTTATTACCGGCCAACTCTCCGTTCGTTTCTGCGGCTATGGAGGCAATGTCATTGGCCAGGACTGTTGAGAGTGCATTCTTCTCTATACAGGTGCGTAAAATCGAAGTATAACGGAAAAACAGCAAATTTTTAGCCGCGTGACCTCAGTCGTGGTATGATCCAAAGCGAGGCGGCCAACAAGATGATAAAAATGCTGGCTTCCCATAATGAGCGATGGCCACTTGGCATAAAGGTATCGTTCGGCACGTGACTTATACCTTCATTTTAGGACATGACGCAGCTATCACCAGACTACGTACTAACAGTACAATATTTACTGATTACGTACGCCATGTTTTCATTTGTACATCTTCTATTCCTCATAGCGACACTCATATTTTTGATGAAATTGCTGAATTGTCAGCAATGGCTGGAAAAATAAAAAGATTTGCATGATAGGTGGAAAATTGGCAAAACACATTGGATTCATCGCAAAAACTATGAAATACCGGAAATTCGGAAATTAAAATGAACTTAGATGATTTTTAAAAATAAACCTCCAAAAATCACTACGATGATAAATGATATATACTGACTAAAACATATTAAGACTTTGATATCGTTTTATACTGCATGGAAGTTTGGGTGCAAATATCAAATCTTCGACCTCCAAATTTTATCAATGCCTTTGGCTGACCGACCAGGCGCCTCTTTTTCTATCCTCGCTATCGCACTCTCTCCACCAGGTTTTCATTCCAGCCCCCGTTCCTTCCTTCAAACTATCCTTTCTTTTCCGTTACCAAAATCCTTTGCAGAATTTTCTCAATTGTCAATTGTCTAGGTACGAACCTGCTTCGTCTCGGGTCAGCAGCCTTCCGCGGCATTCATCCGCGGTTAGTATTTGCGCTCCCTTGCCATATGATAACTAGTTACGCACTGTTTATCCTTCAATTTCCAGTTTTCTCTCGCAGGGCGCTTTCGAAAAGGCCCAAGCCGATTTGAAAAAGCTGAAAGAAGAGCCGGACAATGAAACGAAGCTTAAAATCTATGCGTTGTATAAACAGGCATGATAGTTGGTAATTGTTTATAAATAGTTTGTAGGCAAGTGAGGGTGACGTTACTGGGTCACGGCCTGGAATGATGGACTTTGTGAAGCGAGCAAAGTACGATGCTTGGAACCAGTTGAAAGGGACTTCCAAAGTACGGCGTTCTGATTTGGGAGGGTAGAGTTCGTTTAGGACGATGCTTCTACGAAGTACGTTGGGCTTATTAAACAACTGTTGGCTGAGGACCCCGTCGAAGAAGCGAAAACCAGACCAGCCATTTCAGAATTGCCACAAATTCAGGGGCTTGATGTATGTAGTCGTTTAATTCTTCAATTTTATTTACAGTACACTGTTGAAGGGAAGGTTTTTAAAATGACCCTAAACCGTCCCAAGAAATTCAATGCGCTCACTCTAGATATGTACCGTGGAATTCAGGTTGGCACCGTAGTTTTTCATAAGTGACGTTTTTAGGAGGGTTTGAAGTATGCTCAGACAAACCCAAATGTGACAATCGCCGTCTTGACTGGTGGGCCATTTTTAATTATTCTACTCTAAATAAATCGTGTCTCCAAGACAGGGCCAGGGTTAGACCAAGTAGCTATTTTCAAAATTTAAAATCAAAAGGAATAAAATGAAGAGGACACTTTTTCTACCTGGCCATTTATTAAAATTGAAATTCTGGTAGGCACTGGCAACTACTACTGCTCGGGCAATGACCTCAGTAACTTTGCGGCTGCTGCGACGAAGGACGCAGCTGGGGTAAAAGCCATGGCCGAAGAGGCAAAAGTAGTACTTAGGGACTACGTCAAGGTGCCCATTCAACAGGAACTGTAATTACCTATTTTATGGCAGGCTTACATCGATTATGATAAACCGCTCGTTGCTTTGATCAATGGACCGGCGATCGGCATCTCCGTCACTGTGTTGGCGCTATTTGACGCGGTTTACGCTACCAATAAGGTTGTTCGATTGTCCTTGCAAAATTATAGATGCAGTTTAGGCTACATTCCAAACACCCTTTGCCCAAGTTGGCCAGAGTCCAGAAGGCGCTTCAGCCTATACATTCCCGCTGTTGATGGGCCCGACCCGCGCTGCTGAGGTGCAGCTCGTTATATCATTTTATTCGCTTATAGTTTTTGCTCTTTGGCCGTAAACTGTCTGCTTTGGAGGCAAAGGAATTCGGGCTCGTGAATGAGGTGTTCGAAGAGGGGACCTTTGCTCAGGTATGGCATTTTTGGATATTTACGACTTCCGAATTTTCTTTCTGGAGATCCACGTTTTATCATATAATTACGCAGCTGTGCCAAAACGATTTCTACTATTACAAGCATATTAATTTCACAAGCATCCACAAAAAAAATAGAATATATCGATGTTCCGAACAAAATGCTCAGTTTTCGACCAAATTTCCGAACGTCAAAGAGCTTTCAGGATCCATAAAGTTTCGCAACTTCACTTACAAATAAAAATTTTTAAAAAACTTAATGGCTATGCCGTTATGGGTTCTAGACTGTTACCGGGGGGGGGGGGGGGGGGGGGATTTTAGCATGGGGGAAACCACTTAGTTTTTCGGCCTATAGCTGTTGATAATCTATAATGCCTTTTATACGGTTTTTAGTGATTTTCAATTTCTAGGAAGTTATAAAAAATATTTTTACGACTTTCAAAAATCAAAAATGTTGACCTTTTTAACCATTTTTCATATAATTTCGGCAAAAACGTCAAACTTTTTGAAATTTTTATAATTTTTGTAAGCTGTTATAAATAAAAACTAGGTAAAATACGATAAAAATCGTTTCGATTTCGTTGTAGCGCTTTACGGAATTTTTGTGAAGGATTTGGTTCCCCCGCTAAACATCCCCTTTCCCGCTAACAGTCGCGAACCGCGTTATGGATATCTAAACATCCAGGAAAAAATTCTTCCCCTTCGCAGGAAATACTAAAAAGCTTGTTTTATTAACTTTTGCTGCAAATCACTAATTCAGCAAACCTCGTCCTTGCTGGCCAATTATTCATCGCTACCACCCGAGAGCATGCGTGAGAGTAAGAAGCTTCTGCGCAAGATCCATAAGGACAATTTGTATAAAGTCAATTAGGTAAAATCGCAAAGGACATGGATTACGATATGCTTTGTAGGAGGAATGCGATCTGATCTGCGACCGCTGGCAAAGTGCCGAATGTAAAAATGCCATTGTCAGCTTTTTGAGCAAATCTAAGAAATAGCCATGTATGCAAAAAGCGTAATGGAGTAACCCATCTACACCTTTGCCATGTGTTTATTCGGTTCAGCTTTTTAAATAAATCGTTTTGGTTGAGGCGTCAACAATACAACATTTTATCTTTTCCTACGTATTTAGAATGCTTGGCGTCACGCTAGGGCAAGCCGACGAAAAAGTTGGGCTGTGAAAAAAGGATCGCGTACAACAGAAGACTCCGGTTCAAAGTGACGGGCAAATAGAGCCAAAATATCCGCTTAATCTTCACCGGCACCGCCATTTGTTAGATTTTCTTTCACGGGCCTGCCAATTGACACGGCGATAATGTTTTGAGGCATAAAGAATGACTTGAAGCGCATTTCCAAAGCAGCCCCAACAGCCAAACGTAGAAATTAGGGGCTGCTAACGTTCGTAATTGCCAAAACATTACGTTCGACGAGAAATCAGCCTCTTCTAGAACAGCCCTGGTCGAAAAATGTCCCCCGAAAAATGGGATCTCGCTCGCTGTTACTAAAAATTTCTGCTTATCGTCCGTAAATCCCATACCTTCTTACTTTTGTCAAATTATTGAATCAAAACGGTCCATATCACCAGGGATCTAGCTGTCAGCCGCACAAATAAGCTCTCTTTCAAGCCAGATATCACTGTAGTCAGTTCAAGAGAGGCGCGAAATCCGTACTGAATCATCAAAAAGGTTCAGATACCCAATAAAACTACCTCTACCCGCGCTTTTTGCACATTATGTAGCCAGAATATCAAGCATCAAAGTGAAGTTTAGTCCCCATCTCGCAAGTATCCGCTTCAGAAGATCGAAAACTTCCAAAAAAAAATTACCTTCTATGCCTACTCTAACCTTTCACGAGGGCTTCCGGTAACTCCCCATGAAGAAAGGCTAACATTTTTGGAATCTCCGCGCTTGAAACACGCCGGCACCAAAATGACCTCGTATTGTACCATCGGATCATAGCCAGTAGTGCTACCCCCTCAAATTCTTTAAACATGCCACGCGACCTTCTAGTAGGTTCCACAGATTGCAGCTCGCCAGATTTAACAGCGTAGGAGATGCCTCCAGGGCTACGTTACGTATAGTAAAAACACATGGAAATCACTTCCGCCACCTCTCAAACGTTAGGGTCAGCGCGAAAAGCATCAGGAAAATTCTTAAAATCCTTCCCCTAGCCCCTAGTCTCTCCTAAATAAAGCCGTATCCTCCTCCTCGTATCGTTCCTCGTCTTTCATCCGTTTTTCCACTTTACTTTGCAATTTTATCGCGTTGCAATGGCTTTCCAAAGTTTTTGTTGCCGTTTAATTTTTGTTAGACCTTTCACGTCACAAGCTACTACTTCTCACGGGGTTGGCTCGGATTTCTGGGGCTTTTTTCTTGGCTTGTTTGTGTTTCGACCAGCGAATAAATGGCTTTAGGACATTATAAAGACAACTCATCAGGTTTTCCATGTAGGAAATATAGCAAAATGAAAGCAACTTTGACATAAAAGCTTATCTAGCAGAAAAATCGTTGTACCAGCTAGAAAAAAGCCCTAGAGCCAAAATAACTCCTTCGGAGTACTAATGATGGCTACAAGATCTGACGATAAGTAAACTACTATAAAAGCATCGAAAAGCGGCGAAAACCAGTTTCTTATAACTTTTTTTTGGCCACGAGCTTTGTGTGCTCGTACTCTCCTTTTTTGCTTTCCGCGCGACAACCGGCGCCGTCCCCGTACGGATTTGGAATGAGTAGCCCTTCGTTCACTGGCCCTTTGCTTTTGATTTTCGCTTGGTTTTTGTTTGCCCAAAAGTCTTTGTTATTTTATGGCTCCATCTTCCGCCTGTAATAGACCATTTTGTTTAAGATTAGTATGATACGGCAGTTTTCAGCAATTGTCATTGTTTGGCACCATTTTTTTGCGTTAGTAAACTCGACTGGGTTTACCAACGATGGCTTGCCTAGTTTCATTACAGGATCAACCGAAAACTATCATTTATCATATTTATTGAATGCATTAAGAGCTTTGAAGCTTTCTTGCTTTCATCAGCACCTTCTTCTTTTCTACTGGCCTTTTCATTTTCTTGCTGTTCAGCTTCTCTTTCTTGATTTTTTATTTACCTTTCGTTTTAGATAAACTACTATGTCGAGCTCGTCGTCGCCTTTTAACGGCATGGCGGACGTCAAAGTTGACGTAAGATTCTCTGGTTGTTCAAAAAAAAAGCTTGTTTCAGAGTTCTGACTCGGACCAGGATCCGAAGAAGAAGCGCGCCAAGAACTCCAGGAACACAAAGGCAATCCATAGCGGTACTTATTCGTCAAAAATTGGAGATTTGCCTTTTTCAGCTTCTGATCAGTCTTCCGACGAAGAAGTTGCGCCACCACCGAAGAAGGCGGCTCGTGGAAGACCGAGGAAAAGCGTGACTCGTCATGACAGTGACTCTGATGAGGAGCAGGTAAGAAGATACAACTAACCCATTACTTCTTTATTTAGCGTCGTCCCGTCAGCGATAAGAAGAAAATGGAAAGGAATGTCCTCAACGATTTGGTGAAGAAGCGCAATGCCAAGCTGAAGCGCGACGGTGCGTTTTTTGACGAGTATAGGCAGCTACTATGTTATGCTGGTCAAACTACTGGAGTTTTTCAATAATATGGAGCCAATCCCATCCTTTGGCTACCCGCAGAAATGTAATCTTCGATTTCATTGGAAATTGATCTGTTTGATGAAACCCTGGGCGCGTATATTTATGCTGCCTTTAGGCTGGGCTGCTCATGGCTAACGTTTAGGCAATTACGCGTATGCCATCTAATTTTTTTCCTTGAAAATGCTCGTATTTTCAGAAACGCACGCTCGCGATGAAGCAGGATGGGATTCAGACACCAGTGTCAAATCCACCCGAACGTCTTCCTCAAAGAAGAATGAAGATAATGAGAATTGCGGTCCAAAGCCTTCTGAGAGTTCCAAGTCCAAGGCCTCACGCCGGTAATACGAACTTTATACGAAATGGTGGTCTAATCACCGCCGATGTGGAGAAAGTGGCCTTTTGAGGTTATGTTGGCAATTGACTACGATGTGATTTGAAGGCTACTTTCCCGGCATACGCGGTCATTTTCCACCATTTCGGAACACTTTACAGCAGACGGCCAGATAGACATGGCCTTTGTGCGATTTGTCCATCCAACCACTTTTCAGTTCATCTTCTGAGTCATCAACGAACACTCGTGCTCGCAGTCCTACTCCAGAGGAGGAAGAGCAAGGCACTCCGGTAATAGAAACGATTTATGCTTAGTTTTTGCTTCAGATTGAGAAAAAGGCGGACATTATGAAGGCTTTGCTCACCCGCTCTACCCTGCTTAAGGTAGTAAAATTCTGATGCCGATTACGTTAATTATAGCTGCTAAAAACACCGTTCTTCGCCACGACCGTGAAGGACTGTTTGGTCCGTGTTAACGTTGAATTGCCGATGAGCATCAATGGGGTTCGAACCAAGGTTTGGCTTTTCGCTGATTCAACAGTCTTTCTTAGGTGGGCATCGTTTTGGACGACCTGGAGACGGAGACCGCCTACCCTGTTCGAGGTCAGCAAATAAACAAGGTACTCCGCGTGCAATTCGCTAAGGTAATTCGCTGATTGCATGCTTCTATTTTCGTTCTAGGTGGTGAATTATGTCAGATTTGACATCATCTCCGATAGACCGGTCACCGACGTCGAATTTCTGGAATGGAAAACCATTCTGGAGAAATCGGTACGAATTTTGTGGGAAATTGACAGACGGTCTTTGATTATTGAAAAGGATCGTTTTGTGGTGATTGGGATGGCATTAAAAAAAAATAATATTCGGTTTTAGAATCTGGATCTACCGAACATCGAACAAGTAGCGAGAAAAGGCAAGGAGATCAAGGACGCCTTGTGCCACATATTCACCGATACGGAGGTGGAACAGGTATACTGCGGATGATTGCCTTAGTATCATGATTTTCAGATGATCAAGGAGCGTCGTCGGTTCGAGCAGAAGACTGGCAAATTCGCCACCGAAAAACGTTGGCTGATGAACCAAAAGGTGAGGGGGTACTATTTGTTTATTGACAAAACAAAGTTATAACATTGAATATAGCCAAGTGCTTAGTTGACATTGGGGTATTTGCTTCCAAAATGGAGTTAGGCGTTTGCACGGTTCATCGCGAGTGTTCATTTTCTCCGCGCCATTCGTGGGCTTGCATGAAGATTTCAATGGAAAAGAAGATTGTCAAGGCCACACATAGGATAGATTGTCTTCTGAATTGTTTTTGCCGCGTTTTTTGGCTAGGATAGATAGTTGCTTTGTGTGGTGAGAAAATCTATTCAAAGCTATACAGAGCAGCTATGATGTCTAAGAATAATTAATGAGCGTTTTAACGAAGCCAACTATGTAGAGGGGTTTCGTTTTCTAGAACCACAGATACTGATTATGAGGGTTTGCGAAAAGACGAGAGACCAAAAGCCCCTTCTCTATTTCCGAGGGCCGCCGGGGGGTCAGAGAAAGGCGCCTCTAACTCAAAATAACAAGATATGATGCGAATTAATTTTGTAATTTTCAGGAAGCACTCACTAAACAAGCTGCCCAGCTTCTCGAAAGAGCTCGCCAAATAGAGCTTCAACTCGAGCGCCTTGAATCGCCGAATGATGAATCGGAAGAGCCGGAAGGGGTCCAGGGACGAGGAATACAAGCGGCTGCGACAAGCCAAGCCGACTAAGCCCTAGGCGTCTTTGCGGCGGAAGCGACAAAGCGGATGTAAAAAAACAAGTTCTTCTTTCAAACAACATTACCATGCAAAAATCCGTCTTTGAAACTCGACCCCTTTAGACCCTTCTACACCTGCATACCGTTCGTTGTTAGTGTTAAATGTTTGCCCCCAAATATTTCCCCCGTTGTTAGCCCATTGTTTTCTTTTTATTATATTATGCTTTTTGCCCCTTCGGCCATCAAAATTGTTTTTTTTTAATTCGCTGGGTCGTTTGTCATTTGTCCGTTAATTAACAAATAAAGTATTTTAGCAGTTTTTCTTGTCGATGGAGCAACTTAATTTAACCCGTGAATGGTCGTTCCAGAATCGTCGACTGGTGTATGAATGATTAGCGCCACTTGCAAATACCGAACGATGGCTGCGTGATCCAGTCTTGATCGATATCGTTGATTGCAGGCGGAGCCAATCAGTTCATATTCCAGACAGCGCTAATAGCTTCGTTGCCAAAACAATCAACATTTTGATAATTTTTCATGATATTTTCATACATTTTTGTTTGAGCCACTGATTAGCTGATCAGAATCAACTAAAGTGTAGATAGGACATAAAGTTTGACATTATGTATATGTAGGCTTTTATTATATTGCGACAGCTTCAATGTAGGCGATTAAGATTCAATTTAATTTTATTTAGGCCCGAATTGAAAGGCGATCCTGCAAATATCGATGCCGCAGCAAAGTGACAATGGAGCAGAAATTTAGAATTATAAAGTAATAAAATGACGACCTCAACGAGGTCAACCGACCCTATAAAAACTTTAATGAGGAAAATACGGTCGTTGTAAAGCTTTGACCGGAATTTCGCAGAGAACTGAGAACGACCACGACATATCAAGAAGTATCGAAGACGAAAGGTTACCGAATTTGGTCTACCCAAACAAATTGTTTCTGGCTTTTGCACCAAAGATAGTTAGGGACCGCGCATTAATGTAGGACAATATTAATATACGGTTTAGGGGGCTGCTACTGGGATATAGTCGCCGAATTTACGATGTTCGAACTTCAGATGATTTCCGTAAAGTGGGCGTATAATGAGTTCGGCTGCCACTCGCATTTCGTCTGTTCTTCGCAACGCGCGCACCTGGGATTGGTTTGTATTCATGGACCACCTCGTTTTACCTTCAGATGCCGTAAGATGGTTGCTGCGATCGTTTTCTCTTCCATAATTGCAAAGCGTTGACCTGAACGTTTTATTAAGGCTTGAAGCAACCAGCCGATGACTTGTGGTTAATTCTTTTACAAAGCCTTCTAGGTAAAAACATCGCTCTACGTACCTATACAATTCCTGGCACCTGCCGAAAATGGAATATAGGCATACGGATGCTTCATGTCGCTCTCGAGGAATCTAAAACCTTGGTTAAACACCTTTGAAGTTCTCGCATACCGCTCAGGCCGGAAGATTTCAGGATCTTCCCAGTATCGAGGATCTTTATGGACCATTGAGGCAACCATGATGATATTGGTGCCTTTTGGTAGCACGTAGTCTTCTGAAAATCGCTTATTTTACTCGGTGACGCGCGACTCACTAATCTTTGCGTCTTCGGCCACATATCTTGCTATTAATGGGACGGCCGGATACAGTCGCATCGTTTCTTTGAGGCAAGCCTCGAGATAACTGAAAGCCAGGGCTTGATGATAGTAACTTTTTAGAAAGTTTCTTTCGTTTTTGACTTACCGAAATCGCCCTAGGTCTTCAAAAGTCAATGGGCGATCTTCAGGTCCCATGATCTTAGAATTTCTTTAAAAACTTTTTGTCTAGTTACCTCATCGATTTCTTGTTGGCATTTTGCTTGGCATTCTGGGTTGGCCCCCATCAAATGGAAAAACCAATTGGCGGTTGTTGAAGTAGTGTCGTGACCCTATAGTCTCGAGAATAGCTTTTAGATCCCCGTACCTCAAAAGTGAAGGTATCGACTTCTTCTTGAATGCCACTCATCTCCAATTCTCCCTTCGCATGCATGTCAAGCATTAAATCAAGGAAGGCCATTCTTCTATAAACGATAATTCAAAAAATATATATTTTAGCTGACCAACCTTCTTCCTTCGGCCTTTTCCTGCTCAATCAATTTATTGACACCGCCTGCTTGGTCCGCCAGTTTCTTCCGCGCTACGATGGCCTCAAGGACAACGTTTTAATATGTATAAAGTTTAAGCTACCTTGTTCGTGAAGTCGTGCAGCACCTTGACGCACTTCTTCTGTTCGCGGCCTTCGCCAAATAGATTGAAGATGAAGTCTGGATAGTATTGTGGATTTATCATTCGTTTGTGGAGTAAGAATTTGATCCTAAAGTTGTTTGGGTTCACGAGTTAATTGACCGTCATACTTTACAACAGCTTCGAGGTACGGTGAGTTGGGATTGTTTTGGGCATCAATGCACGTGCCGAGAGCTGCTTCACAGATAATGTCCAATGTGCATAGGGTGACTAAAATTGCGAAAGTTTTCAGAAAGTATCTGATTTCTTTGAATGTGAGCCTGAGACCTATCTAATATGAGTCCATCCCCTGGTAAGAGATCTCAAAATTCAAATGTATTGAGATTAGAAGATTCTTTCGCATCATCGGGGGAAGGGGAAGGTATTCCTAAGAAACAATTTTTTGAACATAATTAGTGGAAGTGTTTGAAAATCCTTTTTTACAATTCCTAAACGCAAAAACTTACACATTTTTATCAACAATTAAAAAAAAAATCGATTTTTCGGCCAAATATGGCCGCATTTCGACCAAAATTCCGCGTGTCGGACATTTTTTCGAAGTTTTTTTATAGATTTTCATGTTGAAATCTAGTGTTATGTTGCTAAAAAAGTACTAAATGATTTCCTAATAAGTTACTAGGCATCTAAATTTCCGTTCCCCCGAAAATGCTAAAGAATCATTAGAAGAAGTTCTGAATTTTTTTAATAGCTCGTTCTAAACGTTGACGTACTGGTGTGGAAGATGTCGGTATATTCCTCGACAGTCGTCAAGGCTTGAAATTTTGAAAGCAGAGTCCGTGCATGACGGTTGTAAACCTAAGTTTGATGATTGACTAAATACGCCTTTGAGCTTGAATACCTCGACAAAATCCTTCAAAATATCATAATGAAAGGTCGGTGTTAGCAGCTTGCGCCTTGGGCGCCATTTTGCTGGTTCGCTAAAAAAAAGCTAATATTGATAGTGTTGACGAAAAGAACCTGATCAGCAGTCCTTGTCCAATCCAAGCCGAAAGAAAGGAATAGTGGATAGGCTTATGCAATAGTTTATTGCTTCCAAGTACCGCTTCTACTTCTTCTGCTCCATACAGCACCACAAATGGCATACCTACAACGAGGTAATTATGTAAACCCTACGAAAATACCCGAGATCCACACCCTGGTTATCCGGTCGTTATTTTGGTTGAACATATACGAAATACCTTGGGCTTGCTCGAAAAATTCTGAAATTATATTGCTATTTAAGCCCTTAAAAGGTATTGTCTCACCTACGGGGTTGACATGTAACTGATGGAAATTTCCGAGTATAGGTAGTGCATGTGGTCCCTAGAATGTCCATAGAAATTACGTCGGAAAGCTTTTGACTACCTGTAATGCTGAGATCCGCTCATAGACATATTTGGCTTTTCGAGTTATCCAGCTGAGAACGAAGGAAATGATGCTGACGGCTAGCGCCACCCCAACTAAACCCATTTTCAATGGACTTTAGCCTTTTGGGTCTCCTTCGATCGGTTGAGGTTTTTGAATTCTGATTGGGCGCGTCCTGGCGAGATATTCAAGTAAGGTAATGGTTTTGGCGATTTTCGATGGGGCGAGGTGTTTCTGAAAATCATTATAGGTTTAAGAAGTGTGAAGAAGAAGAATGAAGAGGGGTTAGGAACGCAAAAGCGCGGCCCCGGAACGCCAAGGAACAGATTGAATCCGGCAAAAAGTGCCGAGGGAATGAATCTCGGCGCCCGGGAATTGGAGCAGTAAAACAAGAAAAACGACCTTGAGGGACAATGTTTCGAGAGGCCCTCAAAGTTCAGGCATGGTTTATCCAAGTTTTGGAGACTCGTTGTTTGTTATGGTCAGCAGAATTGGGGGGGCAAGGATTAGGAGCTACCCGAATTCGATTAAGAGGGTGTATTGAAAATGGAAAGTTGACCAACGGTACCACATTGGCGTGCGGGTTAAAGAGAAAAATGGGGGACATCGATTTTGGTGAAAGTTGCATGGTCATCTGGCAAAGGGGGGTGGGGATTGGGTGAGTAAGATGGAGAACTTGTAGGATCAAGAAATGAAAATGAAAGAAATGAAAAAATGAAAGGAAAAAAAAGTCAAGGCTTGATCCGCGCATTCGTCAAGCGACTAAACTATTTGCCGAATTTTTAGGAGGCATTTGAGCGCTCAAAGATTAGTAAAAAATTCCATGATCCCCGTTTATCGTGGCCGGGGATCGAGGGTCCGTATTGAAGTTTGAAATATATTAAAATACACCAGGGTTTAAAATACTCTTTGCCACTTTTGAACCCTTTTCAGCCAATTGTTTCCTAACAAAGAGGGAGACCCGGATTTTCATAAAAGCCGAATTTTAATGTCGAAAATAGCACTTTTTGCAAAATCTGATATGTGTGCAGTCGTGTCATGACCATCACGCAACTTTTGGCGTATCAAACATACCCGTAACTTCCTCCCCTATCGAGATACGACTGGAACATAATGACGGAATTTGCATGCAAAGTGGCACATACAACCACTATTTTTTTATATATAGTAAGATTAAAATGTTCTAAAAGTTGGTAAAAAGCAAAAGCTTAAAATCCTTACATTCCTACAAACTGGAAATGCCAAAAAAATCCTTCTACAACCGTTGGTACCCAAAATCAATAAATAGTGCTGAATTGGAGACATGGAGCTGGAAGGAATCGGGTGGAGAATGTGCGGGCTGTGCCAGACTGTAGATTACCATCTATGAGCCGGAGGGCTGAAACCTCGGAGGCCGCGTGTACCGAGGAGACGCCTTGGGGGAAGGGATCGATCCGCTTTAGAACTTATTCGACGGAATGGTGCCATTTGAGGGGATGGCTGGACTAGAGTACGGTAGGCACCAGGGGAGATTGAACTTAATTTCAAAGATTGGGTTCAAGTGTTTCCTTTCTGTTTGGATTTTTCTCAAATTTCTCAAATTTTCGTATTTTTAAGGAAATTAATTGGATTAAATATGTCATTACAAGCCAGCAAAAAATATTTTGAAGAGAATTACTTGCTGCAGTTCTAAGTACATTTTTAAGTAATAATAAATTTTAAGCCATATGAGTTCTTAGGTCGAAATTTGAGCGATTATGTATTCGAACTCTAGCCCAAAAACCCCGCCAAAAATTGTCGAAATCTTTGATGATCCAATGCCGGATCGCCGGAGCGAAATCCACGCAAGAACTTTCCGTACTTTCCGCCACACGCCCAGAGATTCCCACGGCTGATCGTCTCAGGCATTTGTGCGGTCGAATGGAGATCGTAAATTCATCAATTTAGTAAAAGTTGTCGTCTAGGTGTCAAGAATCCTGGGCCGAAGAATCGAGGCTGAGATTTGCTTTTTTGCGAAAAATCGGATGGTCAGCATTGGCTGGTGAAGGCATACAGGGAGAGGGAAGAGCCGGTTTTGCCAGTCGTCCATGGCATCCATTCGTTTTCTAATCATTAGTTCGTTAGTCTGGGGGGAATGGATCGGTCGCATGGGGGCATTCAGTGTAGCTTTTTGTACGGGGTATTGTACCCGATTTTTGTTCTTAGATACAAAAGAATATACTACAACTAAAAGTTTGGCAAAGTCGAAGTAATATAAAAAACTATCGCGTAGCAACAAATTCAGGGACGTAGCGTAATACCGGCCCCGGGGGCCCGGCCCCCGAAATCGGCCGCGGCCCAAAAATTTCATAAGGGGGGACCCTTATGATTTTCATTTTCTCAAAAATTTTGCTGCCTGCGGCGCTATTTTTTCACTTTTTTTACGGCTATTCGTAGAGCTATGTAACCTTTCTTCAAAAAATTTTGCCTGCGGCGCTGTTTTCTCGCTCCTGTTTTGAGTTTTTTGGAATAAATTTTTGGGGGCCCCCCCGAAATTTTTTTCTGGCTACGCCCCTGAACATATTAGATCAATTTTCAAATTTTCTGTGCCAACAGGCTATCGATTCGATGAATCGCATTGATCGTTATTTTTCCATTTATCCCAAAATAGTTCGATTTATTCAAAAAAATTATGAATTGAGATAGTTGATAATCAAAATTGCACAGTAGTATTTGTCAAAAGACGCTTTTGGTCGGATAAGTGAAAGGAAAATAAAACCAAAATCAAAGGTCATGTTAAAGCACTTTGGAGGGGGCGGGTTGGGTATCTAAGAAGTATTTAAAGGCTGGCCGGCAGTGGCACGGGGGGTGGTAGGATGGGTGGAGAAATGTTGTGGAGAAATGGGGGCGACGTGGAATGGAGATGGGAATCTCTCGGAATCCCCTGAAAGGAAGGATCCGACTACGTGCCACGGCTGTGGACACCCTCTTCCTTCCACCCGACGTGCCCTTACGGAGGTGAGGAGTGGCGGGGAGGAGGAGATGCGTATGTTTGTGGGGTGTGTGTAGAAGCTAGGATGAAGAGATTGGCATCTAGGTAGCTACCGAGACGCTTCAAACAGGTGTGTCTTTTGTCAGCAAGAAGCAGAAGGTAGAGGGGGGGTAAATGAAGCTGGGGAGCAAAGTGTTGAGTCATCATTTGAGGGAAAGGTTTCCTAGTTGGGGTTGGAGTTACAGTTGCCTATAGGTGTAACAGCTGACGCTGTTCTTTGTTTCCTGGCAGAACAGTTCGGTGTTGGTGACGTAGGAGAAGTCACCATGCGCGCAGATCACGTCGAATCTGAAAGTTAGTTAATGAAATTACCATTTTATGTTGTTAGATTTAGTCGGATCTATTTTACTATTACTTCGACCCGTAAGGATGTAAAAAGAGGAGCTTATATTAGATAAAATACCGTAGTTTTACTTACCTGCCACCAAATCTCTCCTCCGCCGCCACCTGCACCAAACGCTTCGATGAGTTCAAGCTCTCGCTCATATGCTAAAATCCATCCCATTTTCAAGGAACCTTGAAGGCAAAATACCTCTAACATAATCGATCGCAACTCCTCCGCATTGCACATCGGATCGTCGCTGAGCTTAATGTCCGAAATATCAACCTGCGGCACCTCCTTCCTGCCGCCAACTGGCGCGACGGGCATCTGCAATAATTCCGCGTAAAAATCCCTTCTTGTCTAAATACCTCTCGCTTCAACGCTTCATCAAATGAGTCTTGCATCACGTCCGTTTCGGGGGTTACCTAAATTCCGTTTAGATTAATTTCAAGTTAGTATTAACCTGATCTCTAACGGCTTGCATTGTTCGTCCCTCAAGCTGTGCCTCAACCGATTTCCTCTTAAATATTAATAATATAAAATCAATGATTTCTAAATCCCACCCTATAATGTCCAGAAGTTGTGGCTGGTCGCTTTAGATCCAATGATACTGGGCGGTCCTCAAGCTGGAAGGGTTATGGTAAAATTAACCGTGCTTTAAAAACTAACGGACTAGGGTTAGTAAGCAGAGCAAAGGATTAAACTGGTGCTATGGAGACTTCTAAACTCTCGACGTCTATCTCCTGAAGTCCACTCCACTCCAGACCCGCCTGAAAATGCCTAGAAGCCCGCCTTCTCCGGAAGTCGATAGTCTCGATTATTGATTTTTGACCAGTAGACGTTTTATAGGCTCTAACAGCAAAATTCGAGCTCCTTGGCTGCCACGTTACAGCCATGCCACGATATGGAATTGCACTTTTTGGGATTTCCTGTCGAGGTGCCACCATAAACTCATGCCTTTTCATTCCATAGCTATTTTGTTGTATCTCGGGAATATAATCTAATGCACGTCGTTTGTTCTGGCTCTCATCAGTTTCAGGACCTCCGGAATTATTTCCCGAATTATCGCTGGTGATATCTTCTGCCATAGCAGAATCTGGTGAATTATTTTCGGTCGCTCCGGATACAGTAATCGACTCTTCGGGAACGTCTGTAGTAGTAGGGCGATCGAGGGTCGGGATCGTGGAGAATTCTTTTGGCCACGGTATCGTAACGGTTTCTGTGGGCTCCGTTACTGTACTCGGTTCAGGTGCAATGGACGTTGAAGGTTCTACCGGTTTGACGTTTAATACTTCCGCGGATTCGTGATGCATCTCAGAATCGTTAGGGGTGCCGATCGTAGTTCGGTCTTGCCCATTTCCAGAAAAATCTTCACTGACCTCAGCCTCAATTTGATTCTCCTGTGGAGAATCAATTTCTGGGGCATTTTCTCGCTCATTCGCATTTTCCGGAGCTGTCAGATGGACCGAATTAGCTTGTACGGCATCTGCATCTTCCGTATCTTTGCGGAATTCTTCCTTCGGCGCTTGCAGGCTCTCCTCCGAGCCGGAGTCCAGGTTTTTCTCTTCTTGCTCCTCGCTGTTATACTCATGCACGGGTAATTGGGCTAAAAATGGTGCGATTCCTCTAAAAATGTGATACTTTTTGACGAGTGGTTGCCATCAACATGCGAGGAATGGGTGGAAAGTGCTGAAAATTGCGTGAAAAATGTTTAGGTGGTGGTGTAAGGGTTAGATGATTTTATTAAAAGCGTGCCGGTGAATAGGTGCTCAATGTGGTCGCCAATGAGGCCGGCTTGGTTTGGTGTTTGGATGCCGGGGATCTGGTGTGAAACGTGCAAAAAGTGGGGACAATAAATACCTGGTGCTCGATGAAGGGTCCTTTCGCAGAGAGCCTAAATTTAAATAATTTTTTGGTGGTGCTTTTTTCAAGGTTTAAGTACTTTAACTTACACTTCTACAGGGACACTGGATTGTGTTGGTTCGGCATAACCTAAGAAATGCTATTTCGTTTAGACTTAAAAATACGTACCATCTTGGTCCATATTATGAGAGATCAAGACGGGAGGAGGTGTAGATTGGAACATAGCGGTTTCAGCGGGGAGCCAACTGGTCGCATACGATGGCTAAAATCAAGGATACGCTTATGAGATGCAATGAGGAGTACGATATGTCGCAAAGTACGATGGCGAGAACCAAAAATACTAGATGTTTCGCACCGAAAGCTACGATACGCCATAAAATACAGTTGCGGAACTAGGACCGTGATACGCTACAAACTACGCTCGGTAGAACGGAATCATTTCGACGGGAAGTACGATATGCTACAAAAACAATAACTGAGAGTACGAGTGGCTACAAAGTACGATGAATAAACCGAACGTACCTGGTGGTACAAAGTACATCAGTTACCAGTTACATTAAGCTCACGCAAATTTTCAAGTAGGACGGTTACGAAGAATTATACCGTAAGCTACAAACGACAACTTACAGTAGGCGGAAGTGGGGCTGGCGGCGGCACCGGAGCCGGGTGCAGCGGCATGCATCCGGTGGAAAGTCCCGGAGCTACACCACAACCGTATCCAGGAGCGGGCTGGGGTGGCGGTGGCGGAAGCGGATTCTGGAAGCCGCACGGGGTGTGCAGATTCCGGAGTCCTCCGCCGCATCCCATCGGAGCCGGAGCTGGGAGTGGAGCTGGGGGCGGGGGTGCTGGGAATAGGGCTGGAGCAGGAGCTGGCGGGTGACAGGGTTGTTGTTGAGGGCAGAATGGGGCTAAACGTTTTGGATGTCAATGTCATCGCTGCTAAAAGTCAAATTTATGCATTTTATTTCGCTAAAATGTAACTAGATAAAATTTACATACAGCATTTTAAAATGTGGGTCCTAGGGAAAATAACTCTCAGGCAAGATTATTTTTAGGAAAAGCGACATTTAGGAAAAATGTTCTCCATAAAAATATTCCATGAAACTCACGCATGCAGAATTGCGGCTGTGGTTGGCATCCACCAAACGAAGGAAGGGCCGGAGGAGGAGGTGGTGGAGGAGCAAGTGGTGCACAAGGTGCAGCCATACCGCCACCACATCCGCCACCACAACCACCGCCCATTCCGGGGAATATACACGCTGAAGACAGCCCCGCCAGCACAAAAACGATCAGCATCATTTCCGGATGATCCGTAAAACCTGAAAAATTAATTCAAGAGGATAGATTAAGAGTAAAGTTAAGAAGGCATAGAATTAGGGAAAATTCATTAAAGCTATTGAAGGAAATAAAACTGTCTAAAGCAATTACGTAAGAGAATAAAGACGGAATTAAAAAAGTAAGTCGTATACAAGGGGAATATGGAAATGAAAAAAGCAAATTTAGACGGTGTAAAATAGCCCTATGCGTAAGGGAGGGTAAAAAATTATTGAAAGCGTAAACCCATACTTTAGAAAAGCTAGAAGATAACTTTAAAATATGTGACTGAAAAATTTTTAATAAAATAGAATCACTGAGATGCAAGAATTTTGTAAAGCTTTTGAGTATAAAGGTTCACTTTACGTTTGCAAATAAAAAACCAGGTTAAATCAAGGTCTAGAAAATTAGAATTTTTTAAAGCTCTGAAGTCTAAAAGCCTAGATGAAGCTTCTAAATAAAATAGAAACCTTGGAATATTAGAACGTTGTAAAAACAACAGAGTATATAATAGTAACATTTAGTCTTCAAAGTACAAAATTCCAAAAATAGTGCGGTTATATTTAGAGTAGTTGTACGGAAGGAAGCCCCAAAATGCCGAGATCTTTTTGAGGGAACTATGCGGCTGGTGATGATGATGGCTACATGCGTATGTGTGTGGGTGGGGGCGGGGTAGTGGATGGCGGAGTAAGGAGTTTTGGGGCGGGATACCCGTTTTTTTCGTGTCCCCACCCCTTTAGCCGGCCCTCTTCACCCCCCCTTTTCTCGGCTACAACATCCAAGACAAAGTGACCAGTTTATGGGAGTGGGGTAGATGCTGTGGTGGTGTTGAGGGCTGGCTGCTACTACTTCCAGCATCATCTCGGGGGGCGCGACACACGCACAACCATGGCATAAGCCGAAAAAGTGCTCCCTCCCGGGGAGCAAGAAGACTGGTATAAACGCAGCAGCAGCTACCGATACTAATGACGGCTCCCCCTCCTCGGAAGGGAGCACGGATTATCCCTACCGCTTGGCAACGGCAAAGCCGAAAAGTGCCCGGAGGGGCCTGGCGGACGACTTTTTTCGGATTGAAACACCGTATCCCGGCAGGGGTAGACCCACCGCACTACCATCGGGTGGCGATTTACATGGCAGCGTCTGGGAAAACCGGGTAGAAAAATGAGGAAGAGGGTGCAACGACGAATCTGTGAATCGTGGCTAAGTAGGAAACGGGGGAAAGTTAGAGCGATGTCGGAATAAAAAAAATGGTGATGTCAAACTTTCCATCGAAGTCATACTCAAGGCTTAAATGAGATACTTAGGTATCTGTAGAATTCAGAATCACTGAACGGCAACTTTAGAACAGCGTAAAAATTATATTTTTAAGCAGTATCGGCAAGAAAAACAGTAACCAAACGCTTAAAGCTTTCTGATAAGGAGAACCTAGTGGGAAGCTAGCTTTCAGATTAAGCTTAAGCTTCCACCAAGCTCAGGCATAAGCATAGCACTAATTTAGGCTTCAGCTGAGCTTTGGGCATCAGTAAAGCATAAGCTCAGCTCAGGTTTTTGAGGCTTATATTTAGAATTAAGTTCCGATTTGGTGCGCCTTTGAAAAAACCAGGCATGAACAAGGCAGATAAATCTTTAACCGATGCCTTCGACGCTCCCTCAAAACCCTCGACGAGCTCGTGGAGGTGGAATGAGGCTCAGGTAAGAATGGGTGGCGCCTAGATAAGGGATTGTCGTTTGAATAGCCTGCATACGACCCGTTCCGATCAACCGCAAAAACGGTTCCCTTCCCGCCCATCATATCGGCCCTTCCCCACGTTCTTCCACCTCCTTAACCCGTCATTTGGTGGCTGCCGGATTTGGATAAGGAGCTGTTGGGTGATGATAAAGAAGAAGCCAAAGAAGATGATGATGGGTTGGTATGAGGCAATGCTTGGGATTATCATAGCCTTCGGCATTTGTATAGGCAGGATTGCAGGATAGGTGCGTCAAACCTGTCTAAAGACCTTAAATTTAGTTTTCTACCATTTTTTTCTATTTTGGCAAAAGTTTGTCGCCACCGTTTTTCGACCTTTTAGATCGATTTTTCTAGAAATCTTGGTGTAGAAAACTTTCAATTTGCGCGGCAAGAAATGTAAAATTCTGGTTCTTAGTTTCATACTTTCGTGGCTTGAAAATTTGATTTTTTGGTGAAAATCGAATTTGGTCACCGTATATCAACAAAAAAACGGCAAAAAGCAATATTTAATAGATTTATCAATAAAATTCTGGAAACTGTGGGAAGCGAACGGGATCGTCGTGCGTGCGGTTACCATGAATGCAGATTTTCTTCCGGTTTACCAAGCTAATGTGCGATCTATTTCAGTATGCTGCAATGTACAGTTGTTCAAATCATCACGAGTATGATTCCTTGATTGCATCTGCCGCCCATCGCAATTTCTTTACCATCGACTTGGAAATAATGTGAAAAAAATTCTAAAATCCGAAAACCAAAAAATCTTCGAGCTGATATCCCCACGTGGTAGTTTTTCGATTTTCCACCCTCCGAACAGGTACCCACAATTTACAAGCAAAACCGGACGACCGGATAAAGGCAATTTAAGCCCAAGGTGGAGGGGGCCAAGCCTGGAAGGGCACAGATTGGCGGAGGGGGGGGGGGTGGTTGGAAACGGGTTTTCGGCTCCTTTAGACGGTCCCGTATGCCATAGAAAAACCTACTAATTAGGGGTTCTTCCTCCGTTGGGGGAAGACCGGGAATGGGGCAACCTTACAAACAGGAGAAGCGGATAGGATCATATGGTTTTGTGATAGGAAGGGCACAGGGTGCTTTTGGGTTTTGGATACGATACCAAAAACAGTGTTGTTTTCGGTGTGCGCCAAATTTCCGGAAGCAACGTTGTGGCTTTAAAAGTATATATTAATGTCGGTAGGCATGAAATAGACCCGATATGCCACCCCACTTAACAAAATTGTGAAAAACTTTGAATAATTATTGTTGAAGAATAATTAGCCAACCGGTAAGAGGAGTAGCATACTGGAAAACTAACTAAGCCGAGATTCTCATATTTTTAAGAATTGTCTTCGATTCAGATTTGATATTTGCGTGCGCAAGCGGGCTTGCTTTCGTTCAAAATCCGGCTATTCTGCCCTGATACCGCATTCAAATGTTATAAACATTTTTAATGCAGTCTTATCAGCATTTTACCGTTTTTATGCCGAATTAAAATCCAGTAGAATAGCCTTTTTGCCGTTGTCACAGCCCAATCCGAGCCCGGGTGTAATGGGTCAGTCGGCAGCCGGGAACGCTCGCTGAAAAAGAACGGAAAAACGATCATCGAATTTATGGGTGTCCTCGTCGCACCGGGGCGCACAGGCGGCAGTGTTCTGCAACTTTCACGGCAGAAAAAGGCGTCCCAGCCGGTTCCGCGTAATTTTTCGGGTGGAATTTTGGGGGATTGCCGTACGGCACCGTGGGGTCCGAGTGATTGGTTTTTGATACGATAAAATAAAACCGTTGAAGAAATTTAATTGAATAAAATTTGCTATGCAAACATATTCAAAAATATTTGCAGTTTGGACAATGCAACGGGGTTTTTATGTTTGGTATAATGCGCAGAATACGACGGTAATGGAGCTATCAAAAAAATTCTAGGCTTAAGCTTTTGCGTAGGCTTAGCTGGTTTAGCTGGCTTAGCCGACGCTAAGTCTTATGAGTACGTTTAAGTTTATCTTTACGCATCCGACAGCAAATCAAGGCATTTTCATTAATTAAAAAAATCCCGACGCAGGCCTGGAAACGTTCAAAGGCTTAAGTGTATTTCACAGGACCTAAAACCCTGCACCCGACTGTCATGCTCCCTTTAAGCCCCCAGAAAGCTACATACCCTCCCCAACTCGACCTGACAATTGTTGGGCCACAAATTGAGGAACCTGTCCTTAGGGCCCCTGTCCCCCTTCATCCCATGCTCCCCTCACAACATTTTGGCACCTGAGAACACATGTTCGTCCACCCCTCCGTCCCCTAATCCGAAGAGTGTCAGCTCCACCCAATCACTCGTTTCCTTTTTTCTGTCTTTCTTATCCATCGGTGGGTCCGAACAGTGGTTCCTCAGTCCAGTGTGGGGCCCAGATAGGGGGCCCAGGGGACAGTTGCTGTACGAACACGAAAAAATGTCGCCATTCGGCCGGAAAAAGGGGGGAGACGTCGCGTTCTGCTGAGCGATCAGGACGACTCACCCAATCGGCGGTTGTTTAGCAACAATTGGTTGGGTTGACGTTGTGTTTGATTCGGTTTTTTAATGTTTATTGAGTTAAGCTTTAATATTGTGAGCCTTACTGTTCCTCTAATGGGAAGGGCAAGGGAATACTTTCGAACTGCTATGGGTTTGTGGCTGAAAAAAAGGGAAACCTGAGGCTGGCGTCGCTCATTCTGCGGGTAATCTCTTTTCCGGCTCCATTTATAGGAACGGACCAGCAAAATCCAGTGCCTACCAAATCCATAG